GAAACAACAATTCTACGCTTAAGAATTTATTTTAAGGAAATATCTAAAGGTCAAAAATTGGTTTGTCCCATTCTTACTAATAACAAAACAACTAACAACAATGTCCAATACAGGAGTTGGTTGAAGAAACAATGATACAACCATATGTTAGAATGCTACGCAACCACTAAAATATTAAATATTTAAAAAAAATTAAAATATTCTTGAAGTAAGGATCATTAAATTTTTTTTAAAGTTCATGTGTGAGGTGCATGTTTGATTTGTCTACAGAATGAGTCATGAGGGTGGGGACAGTTTTTGAATATGGTATGTGGAATGAGTTGCGGAGGAAAGGTATGACACTGCATGGGGAGGGAAATAAGTGTGAAAACTAAGTAGAAAAGTATTTGGAAGGTCATGTGAAACAACTCCCTTGCATTTTCATTTCAGTATTTACTTGCTTGGTGAAGCCCATCAGTTTCATGGCTCAGATATCATCTGAGGCTGATGACTGTCAAATTTTTATCTTCAGCCCAGCCATCCTCCCATGAATTCCTGACTCATCCAACTACTGTCTTGATAGTTTCACCTACACATCTGATACACAACTCAAATCTGACATGCTGGAAACTGAACTTCTCAGATCATCTCCAAACCTTCTCCTTTTGTAGTCATTCCTATTTTGGAAATTAGAAACTCCATCTTCCCTGTTACCTGACACCCAAACTTTGGAGTCATCCTTGACTCTTCTTTTGTTCACATCCCACCCACAACCAGGCTACTAGCAAAGTTTATTTTTCTCTTGAAATCTGTCTAGAATTTGATTGCTACACACTGGCCCATTACCGAGATAATTATAGTAGCTTTCCTCCTGGTCTCCCTGACTCCTTGCTCCCCCGAGAAGATAGCCAGAGTGATTCTTTGAAGAGTGAAGTCAAGTCATGTCACTCTTCTGCTCAAATGGTCTCATGGCTCCCTGTTCTGCTCAGAATATGTGTTAAAGAACTTAGCCATGGCCTGAAGGGCCCTACCTGATATCACCTGCCCTGTCCTTTACTCTTCTGACCCATTCCTTCCGATTCTCTTGCTCCATCACTTCACTTGGAACACAGGGACTTCCTTGCTTTCCCTCAATCTCCTGAGGCCCACTCTGATCACAGTATCTTTGCACATACACTCCCCTCTGTTTGAGACACTTTTTCTCAGATAGACCTAAGGTTTCTCTCACCTCCCTCAATTTTTTTCTCAAACATCATCTTTTCTGTGAGATCTCTTCTGACTTTTTACCTCCACCTTGACTTTTATCTTCTTACTGAACTTAACAACTTCTAGTATACCATGTTTTCTTTATTTTCTATCTGCTGCTAAACTTCAGGGGGACTTCATTGCAGCATCCGCAGCATTCCCAACAGTGCCCAGCAGAAGGAAAGCCCCTGACAAATGCTTGTTGAATGATTGAATGAATGAATGTCAGCTCTGGTTCTCTGGGTGGTGGGATTTTTGCTTTCTTCTCTTTGTGTATTGCAGTTCCTAACTTTTCTAGATGAACTTTTTGAAAGGAAAAAGTGCTAACTGCCCATATTATAGGTAGGGAAATGGGAGCAGTAAAGTAGTATCCCTCCTGTGATGAGTGTCATAACTGAACCTGCTCTTTCACTCTTTTGAGATGTCCTTTACTTTCTAAGATTCTATACTTGTGAAATTTCCTTAGCCTTCTCAGGTTTTTGGCAGTACTGAGATTTGAACCCAGGGTTCCATGCTTGCTAGGCCGATGTTCTACCACTTAAGCCAAACCTCCAGCCCTCACTCTTCTTTTTCAAAGAGAGCAAGGGGTTCTCAGCCTTAACACTTGACATTTTGGGTCAGATCAACCTCTCCCTGTGTGGACACCTTGAATGCTAACCATTCCCAAGAGCTAATGGGCCACACCCTAGTCCTTTTACTTTAGTTATTTTTTAGATAGGGTCTCGCATTTTTGCCCAATATCAGCCTTAAACTGTGAGTCTCCTACCTATGGCCTCCAGTGTAGCAGGCACAAGCTACCATGCCCAGCTTGTTTGTTGAGATGCGGTCTTGCAAACCTTCCCCCCACCCCCTAACAGGCTAACCTCAAACCATGATTCTCCTGATCTCTGCCTCCTGAGTAGCTGGGATTACAGTTATGAGCCACCACTCCTGACTACAACACAGCTTTTTTTTTTAAAGTAAAACAAAATTCTGCATTTTTGTAAAAGTAGACAAAAATAATATTTCAAACTGTACAGTCACCAGAAGTACATGGTCATCAAAAATACACACACATCTTGGCATCTCCATCACCTTCAGCTTTCTGCTTCTGGTCTGTTTGGGCATCTCCATTTTCTGCAGGGTTTTCCATCCTTGCCGCCATCAGCTTTCCCCTTTCTCCCTTTCTTGCAGGACCTTTTTTAGGCTTGGACTCTGGCTTTGAGGAGCAGGTTCAGCAGACAACCTTGCAGACCTTTCTTTGCCGTGGTACATACATCATATTGATTTTACCCCCATTCATGTCCCCTTCAGCCTTCCTCCTGGGCATGGTGACAGCAATGACAACTGGACAATGTAGGCCCTCGATGCAGGGGTGCAGCAGCACTCAGGCTTGGGTGGATGCAGGAGTTGTTCTCCCCTCTTCTTCACAGGCCTGGTGTTTCTTTTTGCATAGAAAATTAAATATATACTGTATTCTGATTTTCTCCCTTTAGTTTTTTTTACAATAGTATGTATATATACATACTGTTACTGTACATATAATAGTATACATGCATAGTTACATAGTAATGGTATGCATATACTCTTTTGTTTAGTACATCTTGAGACATGTGCATTCTTTTGTAGAGCTGTGCAATTAGTTCCTTAGTGATAGACATTTGGGTTGCTTCCAGTCTTTCACTATTAGAAATAGTGCTGCAAAGAATGAACTTGCACTCATTCTTCACTCATGTGTAAGAATATTCTGACGTGAAACACCTGGGTCCCAAATCATGTGAGTTTGCAGTTTTGATAAATATTTTTAGAGATCTCTTCTGTCACTGTTGGATGGGAGCTTCCATTAGCCCATAGCCTTACTCATGAAGTATATTATCAAAGTGGAATTTTTGCTAGTCCGATAAGTGAAAAGTACTCATTTAGTATAGATGCAAATCTATTTTCTCAATTATCAGTTTTGTGTTTCCCTTTCTCTTACTATCCTTTGCCCATTTTTCTGTTAGGGTGCTGGTCTTTTTTCTTCTTAGCTGGAAATTCAGTATATATGATGAAGTTAATGGTTTCTAACTTTTGAGCCATAGTTATAAATGTATTCTGCACTCTGAAGTTGTCTAGAAAAGTTCCTATATTTTCTTCATGTGATTTTCATCTTTCTTCTTTTTAAAACAGCTACAATTGATGTATATATTTATATAAAAACTGCACATTTTAAGTGCATATCATTTAAGAATTTGGACATATGTCCACATTCAGGATTTGATGGTGGTTTTATATAATTTTATGCTTTCACTTTTTGCATTTCAACATTTGACTGTTCTGGAATTTATCCAAGTGCATGCTATGAAGAATGGGTCCAGCTTATTTCTTTCTGGATGGCTACCTTTTGTTCCAGCACAGTTTGTTAAATAGTTCTTTTCCCTTCTGATCTGAGTTGCTAGCTTTATTATGTGCTAAATTCCTGTGTATATCTGAATTTATTTGTTCCTTTCACTTTTCCTCTTATATACCAGAATCTCATTTCTTTAATTATTGAAGCTTCAAAATATATTTTAATACTTTCTAGGTAAGAATAAAACTTATTGCAACTCTTCTTTTACAGAATTTTCCTCATTATTATAGTTTATTTATTTTTTTCTTATGAACTTTAAAAGTAGGTACTGAGTTTCAAAACAGAACCACCAAAAAGCCTGTTGGTTTTTTCATGTGGATCGTGTTAAATTTATAAGTGAATTTAGGGAAAATCATTACCTTTGTGATGCTGAGTCTCATTATGAGAGAGCTTGATATGTCTTTCCCATTTGTATGTCTTTTATATGGTTAAGTAACAATTTTAAAAATCGGTCTGTTATGTTCAAAGTAATAGAAGTTGAGATTTAAAAATCTGACAAAGAGTTGAAAATTATAAAAAAAATAGCTAATGATAAGTTTACAACTGAAAAAGAATACAACCGATATTAAGAAATCTGTAAATGAGTTTATCATTGTATTAGATAAATTTGGAAAGAGAATCCAAAAATAGATCAGAAAAAATTCCAAACAAATTAAGAGAGATAAGAAGATGGAAAGTAAAGATATGTATATATATATATATATATATATATGTGTGTGTGTGTGTGTGTGTGTGTGTGTATACATACATATGTGGAATAAGTCAAATAAGTTTAAAGAAGTTGAAGAAGTTTCTTATTTTAAGTGACTTCTATGCTTAATGTAATTAAATATAGTTTTTCTCTGTTAGGCTGTCATAGCCCAGCCAAAGAACCCAGAACAAAGAACCTAAAAAAATCTATTTTGTTAATGATTGCATCTGTCTGTCCCTGAGGACAGTGTGGCCAGCGGTGGGGGTGGGGGGTGAGGAGTGTGGGGGGGTGGGGGGGCTTCACTGTCCTTGCTCATCCCTCCTCCCCACCACTGATAAGGAAGGTGGCAGGAATAACGCCAGTTACTTCTGCTACTTACTCTGCAGGCCCTTGGCTTTTTCTGGACTTCTCAGCTTTGTAGCTGTGTGTGAAGCTGGGGCTCTTTTACCATGTCTACCAGGAGGCTGCCTGCAGGCTGGGGTTGCTAGGTGCCAAGTTGACTTTAGAAGTGCCTTTGCCCTGCTTCTCTTCACCAGACTTGTGATCACTGGTCCCAACAAGGAAAGAAGAATTGGAATGAAGCCTAGAGCAAAGGACTTTGGGGGGCGGAGCTAAGGTGGATGAAAGGTGGAGCACACTTTAAATAAGGAGCCCACATTAACTGCCAGGGAGTGCACAGCGCCACCAAGCAGAAGCTGGGCTGCTTCCTGCCTTCCTTCTCTTGTGTGTCCGCCTGTGAGAAGGAGCCAGAGCCCAAGGAAGATGATAGAGCCTGAGGAGTACAGAGAGAGAGGTAAGTGACAGGTATCCCTGGCCATATTCCCTGTTGTCAGTTCTGAAGGCACTGCTGCTGTGGGTGGCCTTTAGATTTGGGGGTGTCATTTGGATGAAGTGTTAACGTCGCCTTCTGAGAGCAACAGATTTCCTGGAAAGGCATTTGGGATCAGAGTTTAACACTTCTTTCAACCTCTCTCTTCTCTACACATTTCATACACATCCACACAGCTGTGTCCTGGTTTTCCTCTCTACTTTCCCACAAAGGAGAGGATTTGGATTCCTGATCCACTGCGTGGGAAAAAAAGGAATTATTCATCTTCTGAATCTGTGTAGTGCTTTTCTTTGTCATTCATTTCCCACTCTGTCTCAAGCCTGGTGTGACAAGCAACATCCATGGTTACCCTCTTTTCAGGCAGAGGAAAAGTGGGGGAATTTCTCAAAAAAGAATTTTGAATATCTTTAAATTTTTGATATCATCTCCACTACTAGATCATATTGCCTAAAACTCCTTTTCTGTAAGATATTGTCCTGTGTTAAAATCCAACCTTCTCTCTGTCCTCTTCCCAAGAGATAACTCACAAAGTGCCAGCCATCTTTTCAGGTCAGGGTGCACTAGCCTATTCCATTGCTTTCCAAAGGTTCATTTATCTGAGAGCAAGTTCCTGTAAGCGGACCACAAATTCACTTAATACTGTGCCTGGATGAGTGAGCGGGGAGGTTAGGCCCACAGCTCAGATGTCTGGGGCCTCACTGGTGGGGTCCCCAGAGGCTGTGGGAGTGTTGGAGGACAGCTGAAAGAAAGTGTGTGTGTGTGTGTGTGTGTGTGTGTGTGTGAGAGAGAGAGAGAGAGAGAGAGAGAGAGAGAGAGAGAGAGAGAGATGTTCAGAGGGGGCAAAAGGGAGACTGAGACTACTGGAGGAATGAAAGGGAGGAAGGAATACATGCTTTTCAGTGCCAAGTATTTGTCGTAGCTCTTTTTCTTCTGTGCTCATCTGTCCATTCAATTGATACATTCACTTAAGCATCTAAAACATGTTTTAAACCCTGCGGTGTAAAGTCTTTGAGGTGCAGCCGCACTCCTCCGAGGCTCCAGGCTGGTGGAGCTCTTGGTCTGTGCGTTAGGGATTCCAGGAACCTCAGAAATTACACACAAAATTATACACAGATTCAGAAGACGTTCATGCGTGCAAAAGAGGTGAGAGATTACTGAACCAATGAGAAAAGTGAACATATAGATTTTTGCCTTTACTAGAATTGGGCACAGAAGCTCTCCACCTGTACTAACAAAAAACTGTGTGTGTGTGTGTGTGTGTGTGTGGTGTAACAGCAACAACCAAGTTTCTACTGAACTATAAAGTAATAAACTAATAGCTTTCCTGTCTCTGAGAAGAAAGACAAGACAGACCTTATGAGAACAAAAAAGTATTTTACTTTGCTGCTAACGTTTTGTGCTTTGGAGATTTTCCCTCTTGTTCAATTGTTCACTCACACATCCCCTCATCGCTCAGTCACCGTCCTTTCTTCTTTTTAAACTCTGAAGACGAGGTGATGCTGGGAATGACCTCCTCCTGGCTGGTGAATCCGTCACCTTCACCAAATTTCTCAATGCTGACCCAAGAGGGACAGGTACGAGGGCCAGGCTCACTATGAGGATGTGACCCTGATTTCTCTGCTCTTTTCTAGGGAGAGAGATGGTGGATTACATTTGCCACTACCTGAGCACTGTGCGGGAGAGGCGGGTGACCCCAGATGTGCAGCCTGGCTACCTGCGAGCCCAGCTGCCTGAGAGTGCTCCTGAGGAACCTGACAGTTGGGACAGCATCTTTGGGGACATTGAGAGAATCATCATGCCTGGGGTGAGATACAGGGACTGCAGGAGTAATTCTGGATTTGGGGTGCATGGGGCGCCTGGCCTGTGCTGAGTCAGCTTGGAGTGACAATGCCTCCTTCAACCACTGGTCCACCGATATCCAAACCCGTCTTCTGCGTATGTGGAGGACCAGGACTTTGACCGGGAACAGGTTTCTGATGCCTGGGCTGACCTGTAGTGGGGAATAATGGCTACATCCCCCAGAAATGTGCCCATCTAATGGGGTGGGCCGAGAAATGAAGATTTCATTAGAGGGGAAGGGATAATCGTGGAACTTCGAAGAATACAGGAGGATGGAGGCAGTGCCTGGACCATAGGCAGAGTCAGGGACCTTCCTGCCCAGTGTCAGAGTCTGCACCGAAGGACAGAAGGAGGCAGAGAACACAAACCCCTGTGGGCACCCTAGTCAGGTTGGGAGTCCCAGACAGTTGAGGGACCTGTCAGCCCCTCTTTTCCCTGTGAGATGCACACCGTATCTTTCTTGCCAGGGAAATCTGGTCAGGAAAGTGTTCTCCCTGACATGTTGGGACTCAGCCTAGGATTGTGCTGGTGGCCCCAGGGAACAGACAGAAGCTGGCTGACACAGGGGTTCCAGCTGCAACACCCTGCCCCTGCCATACTGGGCTGTGACAGCATCCTGGCTGTGACAACAACCACCAGGGGTGAAGAACTCTGTCAAGGAGCTCCTGCTACCCTGACCCCAATTCCCTTCCTACAGAAGGGCTCTCAAGCCCACACAGGTGTTGCACTAACTGTGTTATGAGCTAACTCATTTAATGTTCTCAGTGACAGACAAGGAAACCTAGACCCAGAGAAGCTAATTGTCATGTTGAGAGTCACAGAGTTACTACCTGGGAGATCCAGAATTTCAGCTTAGACCAGTTGTATCCCAAGGCTCTGCTTTTTCTCCCACATTCTGTTGCCTCTGTGGGAGTGACTGAGCTCCGCAAACTGAGCCTAGCTTCCCCTCTCCCCTCAGCAACACCCCTGGCACCCAGACTGTCCCCTTAGTCTCCCTGCTTAGGGCATTGTGTCCTGACTGGTGTGCACCTAGTTTTTCTCAAGGTTGCCTTGAGGTTTGCCCTCATTAACCCCCTAAAACTTAGATAAAACAGAAATAAGTCTACAGGAGGGATGAGAAAATGTTCAAACTCGGAAAATGATGGCAAGTTTGTACAAAAGACAAAATACTCATTTGTGTTTGACCATCCAATCTATTTCAAAAGCACCTTTTTGAAAAATGTCAGTATCAGCGAAGCTTTACTGAAAGGGCTGGCTCCCAGATAAGATAATCTCATGGATTCCATTCTGTGAAGTGCAGTCTTCTGAGGCGCTAACTGTAATCTGGGGTGAGACTAAAGTAACGGTCCATAGAGGCAGAGAAGAGCTGATTTGGCTGATGAAGAATTCCAGCAGTTGCAATATGTGTGGCCAAGGAGGCTCATCTCTGGACGGAGAGGTCTGTCTGTTTTGATAAGGGCTCCTCTGGTTTATCTTATCTGATTTCTTTTACGAGAACAGATATTTGTCTCTAGATTAGGGCCAGGAGGTGGAAGCCCTTCTCTGAGGTTTCCAAAATACTGTCATTAGGAACAGTGATAATAAGAGGCCCATCTTTCATCTCATCTCCCAGGCTGTACCAGCCTCTGGGACTTGGCCTGAAAGCAGTTTGGCCCTTTGCTTTCTTATTTTTGGTCAGCACCTCACTGGAAACTGGATGACTTTTTTCTCTCCTATCACCAGCTAGTAAGAGAAGGAAAACTTTCACTTCAATTCCAATCCTGGTTAGAAAACCCTCATTTATGACAGAAAGAGAGAAAAGAGGGGAGAGGGAGAGAAAGGGAGAAAGAGGGGAAGGGGGAGAGAGGGAGAGAGAGAGAAGAAGGAAGGAGGAAAGAAGGGAGAGAGGGAGGGACAAGAGAAAAGGAGGAAGGGAGGGAGGAGGGAGAGAGAAGAGAAAGGGGAGGGAAGGAAGGAGGGAGGAGAGGGAGAGAGAGAGAGGAGGAAGAGAGAGGGAGGAAGGGAGAAAGGGAAAGGGAGACAGAAAGGAGGGAAGGAAAGAAGGGAGAGAGATGAAAGGGAGCGAAGAGGAAGGAAGGAAAGAAGGGAGAGAGAGAGGGAGGGAGGGAGAGACGGAGACAGAGAGACAGAGAAAGAGAGAGAGAACCACCCTATGATGCGGGCTCAGAGACAGGCAGCCTTGGGTTTCTGTCTTGGTACTGTCATCTGTCTCTATGAGATCTGTATAACTATGGGGTCATTGCCTCTCTCTGCTGGCCCCAATTCTCACTGTAAAACAGGGGTAATTGTAGAGCCTACTTCTTAGGGGTGCTGCCCCTAAGAATTATGTGTAATAGGGCTGACTCAAGTGGTAGAGTGTCTGCCTAGAAGTACAAGACCTTAAGTTCAAAGCCCAGTACCACTGAGAGAGAGAGAGAGAGAGAGAGAGAGAGAGAGAAGAGAGAGAAGGAGAATTAAATACAATAAAGCATAGATGGAAAGTGGGAGATAATTGTTACAACCTACCATGTCTTCTGCTTGGTGAACACTGAAGGAAGACATTTGATGATCTGTGAGTCAAGCCAGGATGAGTGATACATCTATCACCGAGTAATTAGTTTACTCTTAATATTAGTGTTTTACATTTTGCAAATTTCTTGCCCATGCTCATCCACAAAACAGTCTCAGGATTTATTTTGCAATGAGAAACTGAGGTGAAGGAAGGTATAGGAGAGGATTCTGGTTTTATGAGGTCTGAAGTGTAGACACATTTTGAAATCACCTTTAAGAAAAAGAATTAAAAATGGATTTCAAGAGAGACCCAGGCAAACATGGGACTTAGTAAATCTGCAAGGAACTGGTTACAGGCAAAGATAGGACGAGACCTGTATCCTTGAACTTAAACCTTACCCAGCCTTTGCAATGGAAAGATTATAAGAACTTGTGCAGTTAATAGCAGGATGATGTACCAAGATGTTATCTAATGAATTCTTGGTGGGAGAAGCTTCTAGAATAATAGTGTCTGTGGACTCAGGGAGGAGATCAGAGGGGACTGCAGGAGCTGGAGATGAACTTGTGAAGGAAATGCATAAGAAGCTTTCTAAGAATTTGCAGGTTTGGGGGCTGGAGGTGTGACTCAAAAGATAAAGTGCCTGCCTAGCAAGCGTGAGGCCATCAGTTCAAACCCCAGTGCTGCCAAAGTAAATAAATAAGAATTTGCAGGTTTTGGAGGGCCATGTCTTCAAGCAGAGCACCTTCCTGTCAGGGGACATAGCATTGCTCAAAGACACAATGTAGAAATGAATAGGAAATGCTTGCAAAGCAGTGACATGAGGAGAGAGATAATGAATGAGTCATTGGGATGTTTGAGAGTCCTACTGGGGGGTCTCCCTGGCTCCTTCCATCCAGTTTTGATTGTGGGCTTGGGTTAGGCTGGTGGCCTCCCATACCCTTGGGCTGGTCCCCATAGCCTGTCTTCTCTCTGACTCCATCCCCACTGGGAAGCCAAAGACAGCTCTGATCCTATTTACACACAACTCTGCCAGGGCTGCCTGCCCAGAGAGCTCAGTGTTCCATAAAACAAAAGATTTTTTGCAAGAAATGAGATGAGACAAGTAACCTGGTCTTCTGGAACTCATAGTTGCCACTTCCTTTTATTTCTGGGCAGGGGCAGCCTGAGGGTCAGCATTAGAGACTGAATGTGAACACAACTCTGTTATTAGAGCAATTTTCATTTTGCATACTCCTTTCTGGTATGTGTAAAGACTCCACTGATGGACGAACTAGAATATGAGACATGTGGATAGCAGGAACCCTGGTGAACAAGTCTTATTTTCATGGAGTTATGTCACTTGTTTTACTATCTTAAAATGGAGGCCTAGCTTTAGAGTGACTTCCCCTTGCCAGAGAGGGTCTCTGGAGAAACAACACCTATTGGAAATGCCTCCTGGTGTGCCAACTGTGTGTGTGCTCTGCCTCCAGGTGGTGCATTGGCAAAGCCCCCATATGCATGCCTACTACCCAGCCCTTACCTCTTGGCCATCACTGCTGGGAGACATGCTGGCTGATGCCATTAACTGCTTGGGATTCACCTGGGTGAGTAGCAGTAGCTGTACCTACTGGCAATTGGGGATATAGCAGGGATGGCATCCTAGACCAGGCATATTTTGTCCTGATCTCTGAAAAGGGGTTTAAGGTAAATATTAATAATGGATGTTAATTAAAAACAAAAATGTATTAAAATATTAACCATTTTCATTACTATTTTGTTATTGTATAATATATACCAATATTAATAATCTTTAAGCTTAATCTTCATATAGATTATCTCATCTAATCACTTAATCCTATAGAATCACGAGCATTGGCCCCATTGTGTAGATGAGGAAATTAAGGCTTAAGTGACTTATCTCCTCAAGAGCTTGTAGAGACTCAGATGAGGTTTGGGTTGAGATCCGGTTATTGCTACAGTTTGTGACCTTAACATAAGCACTTCCCCTGTGCACTTGTCTCCGAGGAGTTAGAGATATGCCCCAAGACTTCCTTTGATAATTCCTAGCTACTACTCAGCACTGAATGTGCTGAAAGCTGCCTAGAAGGTCTTTGTATTTTAATCTAGAACTTTCAAAGGATGTGTGGGTGGGGGAGAGTGTGGAGTGTGTTACTCTTTTCCAGGAAAGGGTACTGTACTTTTTCTTACTCAAAAAACTTTCCCCTGGGCTTTTGAGTTCTTCTCAGCTGGGTATTTTAGGAATTTGGGGACCAAACCCAAATCAATCATATCTAGGACTGTTTCTCCACAGAGTCCTGGAGAATCCACTTCTCTAAAGGCAATATGCTTTTCTGTTTTTGGCTTGAGAGAGGGTGAGATGCAAGTGGGTACAGGACCTTGGTATTGACCCCTTCTTGACAAAGGTTCCCACTTGGTACCATGTGGCCATGCAGATAAAACTCTTTTCCCTCTTCTAGGCATCCAGCCCTGCATGCACAGAGCTGGAGGTGAACATCATGGACTGGCTGGCCAAAATGCTGGGACTCCCAGAGCACTTCCTACACCACCACCCTGGGAGCCAGGGGGGAGGTGTCTTACAGGTGCCTGTGGTAACAAAGTGCTATTTCTCATCGGGGCTAAGCTGTGAAAGTTATGAGTTTCCTCATGTCACCCTAACCATTGTCATCGCCATCACTGTTACCATGACTGACAGCATCATCACCACTATTGCTACAGCATTGCCACTTCTGCCACACTCGTTACTTCCACCTCAATTTCAGCTTCACTTACACTGCTGCCACCGCCTTCATTACTCATCCTCAATCCTTCATTACTCATCCTTTAAAAAGTCTGCACATATTATCAGATTTCTAGTATTCTTTGATTCATGTTTCTAAGTTTGTAATCTGTCATGTCCGCTTTGTGGTCCCATTTCATACCTCATGGTAAGAAAGGAAAAGAGAAGGCAAGGAGAAGCCCTCCTTCGAGGCCCAGGGCACTCCTGAGAGTGACAGAGATTAACAACATGACACGATTTATCAATTTATCAATCTTACCCTCCGACCCAATTTTTTGGATATTTCTCAAATGATGGTTCTTCAAATATTTCTATTTTTCCAAGAGTAATGCCTCACAGTGGAGATTTCAGAGTACTGCTCATAGACCGTGTATGTTGCTAGATGCTTTTGAATCTATAAACCCTTGACATTCAAGGTGTTGGTTCTGAGTTTTTGAGAATGCTACTGTAATGTGTAATTTTTCTTGTTTGATAGTCTGTATGTCAGGGATTATGATATTCCCCTAAAGAATGAATGTAAGAATTAAATGAATTCCTTTGTTTTTTGTCAGTACTGGGGTTTGAACTCAGGACTGCATGCTCGCTAGGCAGGAACTCTATCACTTGGACCACACCCCAGCCCTTTTTTGCATTAGTTTGTGTCTCAGAGAGAGTCAGGAGCTGTTGCCTTGGGCCAGTGTTGGATCATGTTCCTCCTATCTCTGCCTCCTGAATAGCTGGGATTATAGTTGTGTGCCACGACAGCTAGCCAAATGAATTTTTCTGTGAAATAAAAGTAGTCACTCTGCTCTGAGATGAGGAACAACTTTGCTGGTCTTGCTTGCTAGCTTAAGTGACTTTCTCTCTCACTCCAGTCTTGCAGCAAGATTAAAATCTGAGCCTTACAAAACTGCTGTGTATTGTGGATCTTCTGGGCTGTTAGCAAATAGTTATAACTTCAGACATTATATCTGGCAGAACAGGCACAATGTCTATTGAAATGATCTCACTGTTCATGCAATCACCTCAACAGTCCTGTAGGTAAATAGTGTTATCCCCAATTTTTGACATAAGAGCACTGAAGTTCAAAGAGGTTAAGTAACTCAGACCAGGCCGCACAACTGCTAAGTAGGAGAACGGAGATTCAAACCCAGGCCTATCTAAGTCCAAACCATGCTATCTCCTGTATTCATCAACTGTATGGACTTGAGCCAGTCTTGGAGCATCATGTACTTATCTGTAGAATGAGAAGACTCAGAGAGGTGTTTGAGGATCAAATGGAATTCTAGGAAGTGTTTTGTAAGCCATGAATTGAAATACAGTTGGCAGATGGAATTATTAGTAGTATGGCTTCCTTGTTATGGAGTAATTTTCAACCACTGAATATCTTGTGGGATCTGGTCCAACCCACTCCCCATGACACTGTCAGGCTGTTTAGCAGGATTCTATCAGCTGTAGGTCACCTGAAGATTTCAAGAAGCAAAGACAGCATGAATGAAGGATGATAAATCACAAAGACTTCCTTGAAGTTGCTGATGTGGCTCTGAGGACTCCCACAATCACGGCCAGTGAAATCCTGTTTAACCCTTCCTATCCTGGGAGGCAGTTAGAAAGATGTTCTTCATATGATAGATGGGAAAAGTGTATACTAGTCCAACATGACAAGATCCATTGACAGCACAACCAGGGCCAAATTGCCAGTCTCATAAACCAGGTCTCTCTCTCTCTCTGATATTCCTGTAGAATCAAGCTCCATAGGGGTGGGAGGGGGAGGGTCTCTTCTTTCCCTCCTTCTTTCCTTCCCTCCCTCCCTCCCCCTCTCCTTCCTTCCTCCCTCCTTCCCACCCATCTTTCTATTCCCTCTTCCCTCCCTCCCTTCTTTCCACCCATCCCTCCTTCTTCTCTTCTTCTCTCCCTCCTTTCTCCCTTCCTTCCTTTCTCCCTTCCCCCACCCTCTTCTTTCTTTGCTGGGGATCAAACCCAAGGCTTTGAGTGTGCTAAACATTATCTCTACCACTGAGCTATATGCTAGCTCCAAGACTTTTTTCTTTAAAATACATTTTGCACAGGGAGCAAACATATCCACAGGGAATGAAACATTCTCTTTCTTGTTTCTAGAACCTTCCTTTTCTGGTCTCTGACTTCTATAACAGAGATGTTGGTATTAGGTGCAAACTTGCTTTCAGAATGCAGAATAGGTGTGCAAGTTGGGGTGGGTGAGGAACTCTGCAGTTCCTTGCTAACAGCTGTTAAGCGCGCACACACACACACACACACACACACACACACAGGGACACTTGGCAAGAGGACATAGAGGCTGCTGTTGGTAATCCTTCTTCCACTACAGAGCACGGTCAGTGAATCCACCTTGATTGCCCTGCTGGCAGCAAGGAAGAACAAAATCCTGGAAATGAAGACCTCTGAGCCCGATGCTGACGAATCCCGTCTGAATGCCCGTCTCATCGCCTACGCCTCTGACCAGGTGAGAACTTCCTCTACTCGACACAGGACAGCCTGCAAGTTGGTGCTTGGCTTCTGGGGTCTTAGTCCTTGAGAAATTTTCTTCTTGTGAACAGTGGGGTTAAGGGTAGCTCAGGCCTGGGAAGTGAACTCCAGGAATTATACCGAAAGCCAAACTTCAAATGTTTGTATTTGATTCCTTTCTTTTCATGCTTCAGCATGTTCATCCCAGGATAATTCTCTCTCTCTCTCTCTCTCTCTCTCTCTCTCTCTCTCTCTCTCTTTTGGCAGTACTTATGTTTGAACTCACAGCCTTGCACTTGCTAGGCAGGCTCTCTACCATTTGAGCCACATCTTCAGTCCTTTTTGCTTAGGTTATTTTTCAAAAAAATAGGGTCACAGTTTTTTTTTTTGCGTGGGGCTGGCCTCAGACCATGACCCTCTTACCTCTGCTGGGATTACAGGTGTGAACCATCACACCTGGCCATCCAGGATGAGTCTTTGCTTACAAGTTCTCCTGGCCCTTCTAGGCTCACTCCTCAGTAGAGAAGGCTGGCTTGATTTCCCTGGTGAAGATGAAGTTTCTGCCTGTGGATGACAACTTCTCGCTCCGAGGGGAAGCTCTTCAGAAAGCCATTGAGGAAGACAAGCAGCGGGGCTTGGTGCCTGTCTTTGTAAGTCAGAATGTGTACTTAAGATTAGAATAAGAAACATGGATGTAAGCAAGGAATTTTGGCAGAATTCAGGTAAGTAACATGCTGCAAATAAAAGCAGAAAGGCCCTCACATACAATGATTTACTACTTATGAGTTGCTATTCCTTGATGTGTTATGAAAAAAAATTTGTGGGTTGTAATCGGTATTCAAAAGAAAAAGAATGGGAACTATCCAAGTGTATTCATATTGCTTTGTGAAACTTTTACTTCAGATATGCACGTATATATATATGGACTGAGTCGTGATGTAAAATATATTTCTTACTGCAGGCTATGGTAAAATACAGTGTGAAATATAACTGTTCTAGTCAGATGCATATGGTAGATAATTCCTGTGATGAAATCTTTGCTCAGGCCCTGTGTTCATGTGAGGCCACATTCCTGTGTTCATGTGCCTTTATTTCACTCTAGGTCTGTGCAACACTAGGGACCACTGGGGTCTGTGCATTTGACTGCCTGTCAGAGCTGGGCCCCATCTGTAAGTATCTGCCCCATGTGTCTACGAAGACAAGGAATATTTTAAAATATTTCCTAGGGCAAGAACCTGAAACCAGCTCAGTGGAATTATTCTCCCTACCTCTTTGGTCAATTCAAGGTGTGGGAAGAATCAACAAAAGTCACAAGGGCCTCTCACAGGCAGACCAGGTCATTGGGCTTTTCCCAGTGGCATGACAAGGTCTAGAGCTGCCACATTTTGCATCCTGTTTTTGGGGGCAACACTGTTTAACTTGCTAGTCAGCTTTCCATCACTACACCTCATTACAAGCCAGGATGGGAGGAAAGGGACCTCGAGACCTCCCACTTAAAGGTTTTACCATCTCCCCATAGCACCACCCTGTGGACAACGCTTTTAACACAGGGGCCTTTGGAAGGACATTCCAGATTCAAACTCTAAACAGAATCTCAGGTTTCTTATCCTCTTACTTGTATGTCAAAATCTACTTAAAGCAGAATATATCTAAACCACAGGGTGAGTGAGGCACAGGGAAATCTTTTCGATTCTGTTTCAGAAAAGGAAAAGGACAGAGCAGGGGAAACCACAGGAGAGATAAAGGCAGAGAAGAACCCAATGTAGTTGCTTAATCCCCAAATGAGAAACCCAGTAGGAAAGAAAGACATCTTTCTAACCATTGAATTTGATGCACAAACATTGCTTTCTGGGCTAGTGGACAGTTGGTTTCTGTGCCAGGATGTTCTCCGTTGAGGTCAAAGAGGTATTAGCCCTTAGCCAAGGAGGGCCTCCCATTAGGAGGTAGTGGAGCCTCATTGAGCTCCACTTCCTCACGCTGAGCCCCTCTATGTCTCTTGATGGCTCATTTAGTAAAGCATATCTTCCATTCCCAGCCCTTCTCTTTGCAGTCCACCATCAAGCTGGAGAGGTGAGATATGCCTGTCAGCTGACTGCTGGCAACTTGCCCCTTCAAGCCTCCCCTTCAGCAGGTGACATTTGCTTCCTCAGGTGCCAGTGAAGGGCTATGGCTCCACATCGATGCTGCTTATGCAGGCACTGCCTTCCTGTGCCCCGAGTTCCGGGGATTCCTGAAGGGCATTGAGTATGCTGACTCCTTCACCTTTAATCCTTCCAAGTGGATGATGGTGCACTTTGACTGTACTGGGTTCTGGTGAGTGTGTCAGCCAAGCTCTAAGCACATGGAAAAGCTTTGCTTCCTTTACAAAGACCTCAGACACTAACACCCATTTGGAAACCCACAGGGTCAAGGACAAGTACAAGTTGCAGCAGACCTTCAGCGTGAACCCCATCTACCTCAGGCATGCCAACTCAGGTGCAGCCACTGACTTCATGGTGAGTGACCAGGAGTGGGTGACTTGTGTCCGCTGAGGTGGGAACTGGCTGCACCTGTCCCCTAAATTCCTCTAGCTTCTTGGTCCCTTTCAGGAGGTAAAACACTGTGAGCTCATCCCGTAACACAAGTTGTGTACAAGTATATAGAATGAAACCCAGAAAATGTAAAAGCTCTAGAAAACTACAGTTCCTGAATTTTAGTGGCATTGTTTTTGTTCCCAAAATGTTCTCCCTACCAAGGATGAACCTTCATCTCCATCTTGGATAATCTTTTTTGCTTACTACCCAGCAGCAGGGGAGGGTAGAGCATTTTCTTGGATGGAAAAGAGGCTCCTGGCTTAAATTGCTTTCATGTTACTGTCACTGACAGAAGCACCATGGTAGTGAGGAGACAAGGGTGCCCTGCCTGAGGGTCTAAATACCTCAAGCATTCCTGACCTTCCCAACGGCCCGCACCTCAACTCTCTCAAAACAAGGTCTTCAAATTTACTTCTCAATTTGAAGATGAGCCCTTCCTTTAGTTTTAGGCATGATGAAGATGTATACAAATGTGCTATACATAAAATGACTAATGGGAGGCTGGAAAGCATAATATGACCACCTTGATTTGGAATTCTGTACCAGCAGTGGCCCTCTGTAACACTTACTGGACTTCTCTGAGCCCTGACTTCCTGATCTATAAAATGGGAACATGGCACTGAGTTCACAGGGTATTCTGAGGCTTAAATGGGAACAGACATGTAGATCACTTAGCACAAAACCTGAATGGCAAATGCTCAATAAATGGTAGAATTAATACTCATTTTTTTTTTTTTTTTTTTTTGGTGAACTGTTCTTTGAATTCAGGGCTTTGTGCTTGCAAAGCAGGGACTCTATCACTTGATCCATGCCTCCAGTCCATGTTTGCTCTGGTTGTTTTGAAGATAGGGTCTCACAAACTATTTTCCCAGGCTGATCTCAAGTCAGGATCTGGCTGATCTTGAATCAGGATCCTCCTGATCTCAACCTCCCAAGTAGTTAGGATTACAAACATGAACCACTGGTACCCAGCAAAATCCTGCGTTTAAGTTGCATTAATTTGCTGTAGCGAAGTGGTTAGCATGTAGGTGCTAACACTAGATTGCCTGCCTTTGAGTCTGGGCTCCTTCGTTTATTAACTTGTGTGGCCTTGGAAAAATGACTTGTACTCTGTGTCTACATTTCTGTCTGTATAACTGAAGAAACAATAACAGTTCTGGCTTAGGTTTGCTGTGAGGGTCTGAGAGAGAAGTCTGACACCTACAAGAGTCAGTCTTGGTGAAGAGATGCTTTTGTTTTATTTCCTTGGACAACTGAAGTCTCTTGCCCTTTAGCTCTAAAATAATGGCTCTATCATCACTTGATTATATTATTCTCCCCTTTACCACTCACACTCCACTGAGATTGGTGAAGATTTTGGAACTGCAGGCAGAGAAGACTTACTGGAGGTGAATAAAGGTAGATGAACAAAGGTTCTTTTATCTCCACTGCCTTTTCTTGTGAGTTTCCAGAAAATTTTAAATTAAAACTTAGAAACAATTTTGCAGCGGCTATTTTAGAGCTAGGTTTTGTTCCTAAGCATGAAATGATGTCTGTTTTCCTAAGAATATATTTAGATCATTGTGACATAAGAGCGTTTTCTTTGCCTGTGCACAATTTGAATGTCACGTTAGTTTTATTGTTCATTTACCTCAGCATTTCAAGACCTTCCTGTGGCTCATTGCCATCACTGTGGACGTTTTTAAGGTGACTTTTGTTTTACAGATAACTTGTAAAAATATTAAATTAGAGCTGGGCATGGTATAATCCTAGCACTCAGGAGGCTGAGGCAGGAGGATTGATTGTAAGTTCGAGGCCAGTTGGGCTACGTAGTGAAACCTTGTCTCAAAAGAAGAAATTAAATAGTATTTCCTAGCACTGTTCTAGTGGAATCTCACTATTGTTTTGCTGCCACATCCTGGTGCTGCTTTACGCTTATCCTTCTGCCATATCTAATCCTGTGAATTTAATTTTCAAGTCTATGAAGAGACTCCTAGGACAATGAAACTGCTACCTTTGTTGTGATCTTGGGGTCCTCACAGATGCTCTGATTCATGCCCCAAGCTCTTTTGCATCCAGGTGGCTGTAGTTTTAAATAGAAGCTCAGCCCTGCTCTGAGACAAGCTGAAATAGAGCAGCATCCCAGGAGAGTACAGTCAGGTGCTTAATTCCTGGGCCCTGGGATCACTTAAAATTAGGGATAGTTTCTCTACCATCATTGAAGCTCCCTCCTTTTCATCCCCCTCCTCTCCAATGGTACAGAGAGCACCAGTGGTGGGGGTGACCTATGAAACATTGAAAGGACACAGAGGAGGCTGGGGAGTTCTCCAGTCAAAGAGCATGGCTACTTTTGTAAACCCAAATTTCCTGAGCCAAGAGAAATTGTTGGCTAGAACCACCCTTCTGGGTCAGTATGGATTAGTTTTGGAACAGTGACAAGGAGAAAAATAACTGGGAATAAAGAAGGTTGTGAAGAAATCAAAATTAAAACCATCCCTGCCTCTCCCTGTTGATTTTCTGGTGAAATAAGTTAGCTAGTTCACCATAACCATCTGGAAACCAGAAAACCAGCTGGATGACTCTTAGCAACCATTTGTTACTCTCCTTGAGTGTTTGTTGGACAAGAGGTGAAGTAGACACACTCCACTCCCTGATAGAGGTTTTTTTTTTTTTTTGGTCCTGTTTCCACATTTTGATGCCCTCTGCTGGCTGACAAAAGTCCTCTAGCTCAACTCCGCCAGCAGAGTGTTCAACGATTTACTCCCTTTATGCAGGAGAAATATTGTCTATGAAATCAGGGATAGTGTCCTAGCTCTGCCTAGCTCAAAACACTGGGGTGAAAGATGAAGATGAGGACATTTGTGGAGATTTGGCAATCCTGTGGATGGACAGATAAATATTTGACAGGACAAACATTTACTTTTAGTGAATAGAGATTGTGGTAGAAGCTTTCTGACATTTGAGGGAGAGGTTGTAAGAAACTACATCACTCATTAGAAAAACTACAAATGTTTTCCAAATCCTTTGCTCTGTTTTCAGATCTGAGAAATTGGTATGGAAAATTTCAGATCTATGGTAATCACAACTTTGAACTTTAAGCTCTGTTGAATTTGATCAAAGAGTCAATTTTAGTCTAACAGAGGCAGCAATTTGGGTGCTCACTTGAAATCTAACAACTTGGGTGATGTCTCTGAAGCCACAGGAATCTCACAGGCAAAAAAACCAGGACAAAGTAGTGAAATTAAGTAAGGGTCATCTTGATTTGAGACAGAAATGCATCTGTGGTTTGTAGCTTACATAGTTTATCATCTAAACAACCAACTCCAACTGACAACTTCCTCTGGACTTTTTGCATCTGTTGTTTCTACACCACTTCCCTGGAAGGTGCTCTTTATTCTCTGTCACAGATGAGCCAGTGAGGTGGCACTGTCCAAGGTCACACAGCTAAAAAGGGTTGGAGCAGAAGGAGAAATCGAGGTCTGCAGTGGCCCAGTGTCTGAGCTTTTAACAACTTGTAATTTTAACTATACATTTTGGGAGGAATAGAAATAGAACTTTAATTTCTTCTACTTAAGTCACTTAGGTTCTTTTAGAGAAAAGTTGTATTGCCTCTATCTTGAGTTTCTGGGTTGGGATGAAATATATAAAGTAGCAGTTTAAGCAGTGTTCTCATTGGTTCAAGTTCATGGACTTGATTCAAAGTCAAGGACTGCTGGCCATCTATATCATTGGAGTATCCTCTAGGTAACTTGCTGTGGCTTGTTCCTTAGCAACAGCTTCAGGAGCCATGGTGACACTGGCCATCTCTGGAGGGCTGGGCAGGCAGTAGATAATGCCCGAGGGAGTGGCTCCCTGCCTTGTCTCTAACTGTGAGTACTATGTTCCTGTTTCTAGCACTGGCAGATTCCCCTGAGCCGACGGTTTCGGTCTATTAAGCTCTGGTTCGTGATTCGGTCCTTCGGGGTGAAGAATCTTCAAGCACATGTTAGACATGTATGTAGCATGTACGCTGTGGGATGGAACCTGGATTACTTTGCTTTTTCATGGGGGAGGAAGGCTTGTCTTCACTTTGCAGACCTGCCCAGGGGACCCTAGGAATCTGGCTCAATTGTCAGGACCCGTATAGGGGCTCCGGGGATTTGGCTACTAAAGGGTGACCATCTGTTTGTTAGTCAGAAGGAGCCCTGAGCACAACATGAGCAGTCTGGTGTCTGTCCTCTCTACTGAGTGTTTCACCACTCCTTTTGCTGTCATTCCACACTGGAAACTGATAGGTTAAAAGCCCACACGAAAGACAAAGCCATTAATAAAAGCTGCAGGATAAATCCAAAGACACTGTTTATTTTATTATTTTATGTTATTTCTAATGTATCTTTACCCTCCCACCTTTCTTCTAGGGAATTATCCTTCCTTCAACAAACATAAAACAAAAGAAATGGCAATAACTGTGGTCTTAGCATTTGTAATTTGACATTTGTAGTCAACACTGGACATTAACCAATGAGTGACTGCCACCCAGATAATTGTGAGACAGGCCCTCTGTGCTCTGTCTTGATCCTCAGATTCAAGATTAGAGGGGAATGAGGTAGTGGGAATTCCAAATAATTAGGAAAATTCTTTTGCCTACAATTTAGGACTGGATATTCAACGTGCAGGTTCTGGTCAGCCTTTCCCAGTGCTGCCTCTGGCAGCACCCCCTGCTCCCTGCCTCCCAACTGCTTTACCACTAACCCACAGTCCTGGGTGTCTTCACTTGGGTATTTCACACACTTGTCCAAACCCTGTGACCAGGCTGCTATTGTGCTCTTATGTTGTCGACCACTTGGAATTTTTCTTCCTTTCTAAATGTTGTTAATGAAGCAAATTCCACTTCCTTCAGAAGCTTTTCTGAGTATTCCTTCTGTTTCTGTCTCAGCTTCCATGGTGTTTGTAGAATCACCTACTTAAACAAAAGACTGAGCTCAAAGTCTACCAATGTCCCACGATGGTAAAGGGTGGAATGAAGGTGAAGTTTTTGATAGGAGTTAATTTTACCTCTTTAAAATTCACCATGATTATGATTATTATTACTTACCTAGTGCCTCGTTAGATTCTTACAACTATGCTGGAGGTGCTCACCCTGGTCAAGAGAGGCTCAGAGACAGTATTTGCCCTGCTCAAGAGTGGGAGGCCAGGGTCTTTTCCCCAAGCTTCCTAATTACAAGGCCTTTCTTCATAGTTCTGGGCTGCCTTTTACCATGATGAGCTCTTGAATCCAAGTTTATATTTCTATGTTACAGAGTAGTTAGTGCTATTTGGTGACCTCAGACAGATGACTTAGTCTTTCTGTGTTTGCCTTCCAAATTTATAAAATGGGAAAGTGATAATATCACTCTCAAAAGTTTATTGTGAGGATTACCTGGGATAATACATATTGAGTTCTTAGCCCAGGGCCTGAGTTAACTACTCAGTGAGTAGTTCCCTCTTCTTCTTTCTCTTTTATTTTCTCCTTTAAATGATAATAAGTTATTGTCATCATTATCATCACCATTACCATCTCCCTTCACCTATGGTAGGGGTTGATACACTTTTTCTGTAAAAAGTCAGATAGTAAATGTTTTGTCTTTGTGGGCCACACAGTCTCTGTTGTAACTACTCAACCTTGTCATTGTAGCACAAAGCCACCATAACAATATGTGAACACATATTAGCATGGCTGGCTGTGTTCCAAAAAACCTTATTTCCAAAAAACAAGTGGGGATGCAGTGGGCTCATGTTCCTTGCTTGGAGTGCACAGGAACTGGAAGCAGCACTGTCCTCCTCGCTCACAAAGCCTTCCTTCATCTGGACCTTGGGAAGGTCACTTTCTCTTGGCTCATCCTAGAAAGTGAGGAGGTTGAACAAGGATGGCTCTGGGTCTCTTTCCTTGCCCCAAAGCGTTAGCATCATGTTCTGTAGTCGACTTGACTCCAGGTCTGTCCCTGAGATGTCTTATTGGTCCACATGTGTAGTTTAGAAAAATTTACTCAAAAAGGTGTGAAAGTTGGGGGGCAAGTGGTGGAAATGGGCTTGGAGAGCAAGAGATACAGAAGATAATCATGACCAAGTTGGACAAGGAGGAGCAAAAGTATCAAACAGCTAGAAAACCATTAAAGGCATGCTTTCCCAAGGGGAGAGAGCCTTTGGACTTGGAAGTGAAAAGTTCTTGAGGATGATGATTGGAAACTGTTTGAAACAGACCATGTAATGGAGAGAGAAAGGGGTTATGAAGGTTGCTACAAATAGCAGTGTATTTCCTCACAGTCAAGGACACATCAGCTAAATTCCTCCTCTTTTGAAAAAGAACAGCATGTATGAGTAATAGTTGGTAGTATCACTTAGCACATATTTTATTGAAATTCTTCTGGATGCTTGGAGAAATTTTAAGAAATGAAGGAAAAGTCAAGTCTTATCTTTATTTAGTTAATCCTAGGGAAAAATAAAGACTAAGAAAACCATAGTAGGCCAGGTGCAGTGGCTCATACCTATAGTCTCAGGATTGAGGTTTGAGGCAAGCCCAGGCAAAAAGTTAGCAAGACCCCATCACAACCAGTAAGTGGACAAGGTGGTGTGAGCCTGTCATCCCAGCTAAGCGGGAGGTATAAACAGGAGGGTCATGGTCCAGGCCCTCCTGGGCAAAAAGGTGAGACACTCTTTGAGAAATAGCTACAGCCCTTCTTGCTAGGAGTGTGATTTAAGTGGCAGAGAACCTGCCTAGCAAGCACAAGGCACTGCATGCAAATCCCAGGACTGCCAAAAACAAAACAAAAAAAGCACAGGAAATTTTAAAAGATGATATGAACTTCAGAGAAAGATGGATATGATACAGAATCTTTAACATTATTTTTGGTGGTTAAATATGCACGACATCACATATGCCATTTTAAACCATTTTTTTAGTGAACACTACAGTGTGACATTAAGCATAACTTGCAATGTTGTACAATCATCACCCCTATTTCCAGAAAATTCTCATCATCCCATGCAGGAACTCTGTTAATGGGTATTAACCAGAAACAAAGGCTTTTTCCATGGTGTAGGTGGGGATGATATGTAAAAATATATTCTTTGTGGAATATCCAGAAAAAAAAGGGGTGAAAGGGCATTTGAGGTGTACGATGTGAAGAGGTAAGCAGGCGAGAGAAACACGTAGCTTAGGGTGGGGATGGCAGTTGTTAGCTCATGCGTGTTTATGTGCGCTAGCAATGAGTGCGTGTTTCTCTGTGCGAGTTTCCTGGCTGGGAAGGCAGAGCAGAGGCCAAGTTAGGTCTTTGTCTCCTTGCCCAGTAGAGAAGTTTGTGAAGCCAGGTTAGGAGGTCACGTTGCTTCAATTACAAAGCACTTGCCTCCTGGGTTCTGGGGCTTAAGAGGACCTGAGGGTCCAAGTTCTCCAAGTGGATCTGAGGTGACAAGAAATAAGGAGACAGTGGAGGTTTTCCAGTTTGGAATCCGAGCAAAATCAAATGAAGAAGACAGGCAGACAGAGGCCACTCAGGTCTCTATGGTTCAAATCACTTCTCAGTGTGAACATTTATGCGTACTTTGCCTGATTGTTAATCTCAGTTTTCTCTGTATTTACAATTCCAGGGGACTGAAATGGCTAAATATTTTGAATCTCTGGTCAGAAATGACCCTTTCTTTGAAATTCCTGCCAAGAGACACCTTGGCCTGGTGGTTTTTCGTCTAAAGGTAATGGCATTTTTATTTGGTGTTGCAGAGCTGAGCGTTTTTTTTTTGGTACTGGGGTTTGAACTCTGACCTTGGCACTTGAAAAGCATGCGCTCTACCACTTGAGCCACACCTCCAGTCCATTTTACTCTGGTTGTTTTGGACATTGGATCTCGAAGTATTTGCCTGGGCTGGCCTCCAATCATGATCCTCCTGATTTTAGCCTCCCAAGTAGCTAGGATTACAGACATGAGCCACTAACACCGGCACTGAGTCAAGTCTTAGACACATAAATGCTGGGCTTTGAGAGGGTGCTTGTAGGGGATGTGATGAAGACTTCACTTCTCTTTGTCTGTCGCTCAGGGTCCTAATTGTCTCACAGAAAGTGTGCTAAGGGAAATAGCCAAAGGTGGCCGACTCTTCCTCATCCCAGCTACGATCCAGGACAAGCTGATCATCCGTTTCACTGTGACATCCCAGTTTACCACCAAGAATGACATCCTGAGAGACTGGAACCTCATCCGAGATGCAGCCACACTTGTCTTGAGTCTGCACTGTACTTCCCAACCAAGCCCTCAAGCCAGGAACCTCATCCTTCCAGTCAGGGGCCCCAGAAGCGTGGCTGGTGGAATGTCCCTTCAGTCTGTCAATGAAGGAGGAGATGACCCAGCCCAGGCCAGGAAGATCATCAAGCAGCCACAGCGTGTGGGAGCCAGTCCCGGGACAAAGGAAGACAGCAGCCATCTTGATTCCTTGCTGGACCCACTTGATGACTGCTTTTCAGAAGAGGCCCCAGATGTCACCAAGCACAAGCTGTCCTCCTTCCTGTTCAGTTACTTGTCTGTGCAGAATAAGAAGAAGACGGTGCGGTCCCTCAGTTGCAACAGCGTGCCTGTGAGTGCTCAGAGGTCATTGCCTACAGATGGTTCTGCAAAGAAAGGGGGCTCCTCCCAGGTCGGAATCTTTTCCAGGTTCCCTGAAGAGATGATGATGCTGAAGAAAAGTGCCTTCAAAAAGCTCATCAAGTTTTACAGTGTCCCTAGCTTTCCTGAGTGCAGCTCTCAGTGTGGGCTGCAGCTGCCCTGTTGCCCTTTGCAGGCCATGGTGTAGACAAGGGTCTTCAGCCAGAGTCCAAAGATGTGCTTCAGAAAGTCTGTGAACCCCTCAAAGTTACGTGCAGTTCATGTGCTTATGTGTATGTGCATTTTTCTTGGGGTGAGTCCATAATTTTACTGAGATTCTCATTAAGGTTCATGATCCACCAAGGGATATAAATGGAGAGTTGAAGCCAGTGTGATCCAGAGTTTCAGCAGCTCAGAAAGGTAGTATACTGACAGGCAGCTTCTCTGGTTCACCTTGTGACGTGAAAAATAATGCTGAAATAAATTGTGCTTGTCCCGGAAACAAAGTGTATCCTGTGTGACTTAATTGACTGAAACACTGGCAAACTAACAAGGCATGTCCTGCTTAGTTTAATGCATGTGTCCTGTAGATTCTGCTTTTCAGAATGTTGAAGATTTGGATTTAATCATGGGGAAATGGGTTTGGAGGAGTCATTGGTAGCAAAGAAAGCAGGCAGCCTGTAGTTTTTGGAAAACACTCTATCACTGAGCTACATCCCCAGCCCTTTTTGCTTTACTTGGCTTTTCAGATAGTGTCATGCACTTTTGCCCAGCCGGTCTCGGACCTTGATTTTCCTGTCTCTGCCTCTCGTGTAACTGGGATTATAGGTATGCACTGCCATGCCCACACCTCAATTCTGAGTCAGGCATTATAGCATAAGTTTCCCCACTTAAAGATGTATGACCCGCCAGAAAACACATGAAAAAATGCTCACCATCTCTAGCAATAAAGGAAATGCAAATTAAAACCACACTAAGATTCCACCTCACCCCTGTTAGAATAGCCATCATCAGCAACACCACCAACAACAGGCGTTGGCGAGGATGCGGGGAAAAAGGAACCCTCTTACACTGTTGGTGGGAATGTAGACTAGTACAACCACTCTGGAAAAAAATTTGGAGGCTACTTAAAAAGCTGGACATCGATCTACCATTTGATCCAGCAATACCACTCTTGGGGATATACCCAAAAGACTGTTACTCCAGAGGCACCTGCACACCCATGTTTATTGCGGCACTATTCACAATAGCCAAGTTATGGAAACAGCCAAGATGCCCCAGCACTGACGAATGGATTAAGAAAATGTGGTATCTATACACAATGGAATTTTATGCAGCCATGAAGAAGAACGAAATGTTATCATTTGCTGGTAAATGGATGGAATTGGAGAACATCATTCTGAGTGAGGTTAGCCTGGCTCAAAAGACCAAAAATCGTATGTTCTCCCTCATATGTGGACATTAGATCAAGGGCAAACACAACAAGGGGATTGAACTATGAGCACATGATAAAAGCGAGAGCACACAAGGGAGGGGTGAGGATAGGTAAGACACCTAAAAAACTAGCTAGCATTTGTTGCCCTTAATGCAGAGAAACTAATAGCAGATACCTTAAAGCAACTGAGGCCAATAGGAAAAGGGGACCAGGAACTAGAGAAAAGGTTAGATTAAAAAGAATTAACCTAGAAGGTAACACCCACGCACAGGAAATCAATGTGAGTCAATGCCCTGTATAGCTATCCTTATCTCAACCAGCAAAACCCCTTGTTCCTTCCTATTATTGCTTATACTCTCTCTACAACAAAATTAGAGATAAGGGCAAAATAGTTTCTGCTGGGTATTGAGGGGGGGAGCGGGAGAGGGTGGAGTGGGTGGTAAGGGAGGGGGTGGGGGCAGGGGGGAGAAATAAACTAAGCCTTGTATGCACATATGAATAATAAAAGAAAAATGAAAAAAAAAAAAAGATGTATGACCCGGACCAAAGCTTCCTTGTTTATAAACAGCCCTGGAATCACCTGGGAGTCTTCTCCCCAAAAAATTGGTCCTTGTCTTCCACTCCTAGAAATCCTGGACTAGTGGTAATGGGTGAGCCTGGGTTTTGGGGTCTGACAGCTCCCCAGGTCATTCTGATGCATAGTAAAGTTTGAGAAGCACTGTGATGGTCCAATATTTCTCAAACTTGAGCCTGCAGGAAAATGACTAGGAGGCCTTGTTAGAATACAGATTGCTGGACCTGCTCTGAGAGTTTCTGAGTCAGTAGGTCTGGGGTGGGGCTGCAAAATGTGCATTTCTTATAGTTTCCAGGTGATATTGATGCTGCTGATCTAGGGACCACACTCACAGCTATTGGTAGGTGGTGATGCTCTTTTCTGGCAAGTCCTAGATGGGCACTTAGTGATGTCAATTAGCTGTGTGACTTTAGGCATGTCACTTTACCTCAGGACTCAGGTTTTTTCTTTTATCAAATAAAGAGGTTTGGCTAGGTGCCAGTGGCTCACACTTGTAATCCAGTTACTTGGGAGGCTGAGATAAGGAGGATCACGATTTAAAGCCAGTCCAGGCTGGGAGTTCACAAGAGTTCATTTCTACCAATAACTGGGTACGGTGGCATGTGCCTGTCATCCCAAGCTACACAGAAGACTGAGATTGGGAGGATCATGGTTCCAGGCTTTCTCCTTAGCTGCCTCTTTACAGCCTCATGCATTCATACCAACTGCTGTGACAAGGTAATTTATAGGCAGCTGTCCTTGCAGGTGTGACCTGAATTCGGCTTGGAGAACCCCATCACCCTGGTGCTAATAAGCACAACTCTGGGTCCATAGCAGGCACCCACTAAATGTTTGCAAAGCAGATGGGACATGAGCAGTGCATTTACAAATCACATTTTAGAATGAGTCACTGCAGTTGGCCAGTCTTCTCCATTTTTTGGTGGTACTGGGGTCTGAACTCAGGGCTTTGTGCTTGCTAGGCAGGCACTCTACCCCTTGAGTCACACTTCCAGCCCTTTTTTTCTGGTTATTTTGGAGGTACAGTCTTGCTTTTTACCCAAGCTTGCCTGGACCGTGATCTTCCTAGTTTATGCTTCCCACCATTGCTGGGATGGCAAATGTGCACCACCATACTTTTTTCCTTTGAGATGGGGTCTTGTATTTGAGGCCTGGGCTGGCCTCAAATCGAGATCCTTCCAATCTCAGTCTCCCAAGTAGCTAGGATGACAAGCATGACCCTCCAGCACCTGGCAAAAGATCTTTCTTACTTTTGTTTATGCAAACACAAACCCAGGAGTTGAAGACAAATGTGTTGGTACCTCAACCCATCACAGTGGAACTGTGGTCACAGTGGAACTGTGGTTCCTGCCCAGAATCATGGAGGTTTGGGGAAATGGGAGGCCGAGGAAGCCATTAGGCTGGGAGGCACAGCTGATGGGGATAAGAGGACATAGGTTCTGAGTTTCTGGATGATCTAAATAAAACATGAGACAAAGGAGGTCGGGGCCCAGCAGGCTGTGGTTACAGGAGCACTAATGTTCTGGCTAATGTTGTAAGTGCTGACTTCTCAACTGAAAAGGTATCCCTTGTGACAGAGATCACTGCTTTCACTTACCCATGCTCACAACCTGATTTACTTTGACAGGATTCCATGTAACACAATTGCACAACATGGATTCTGAAAATCAGGCTGTGCTGCCTCCCTTCCCTTGGGTTCAAATTCTCATTGGGAGATCCATAAAGCAGGGGCAGAGAGAATTGTGCAGAAATTCCTAGTTGCTGACACAGATAGAAATCATTCTAAATTACACAAAGGTTCAGTGTCTCCAGAGCTTTCCTTGGGTGGACCTCAAGTCCCTTACATGTGTTAAGTACTTAGGAAATGTTTACTGTTAGGTTTACTAAGAGGGGGCAGGAATCCTGGTCATGGGTCTTTTTAGAAGTCACCTCAAAGATTGGAGAGTCCTAGAGATATTTGTAGAAAAACATTCTAGTACTGTATTGGGAGCAAGGATGGTGACCCTATTCTCATCATATATCATTGAAGGTCCCTAGATATGCTTGCTTGGGGCCTTACAAGCCTCCTTGCAAGCTCCTGGTCATCTGAGGATGGCCTCTAAGGAAGGAATCGCCATTGATTCTAGGGAGGGTGGGGTGAACTTGGGCCTTACTTTTTGGATGTAAACTTCGTGACGGTGACTCATGGCCTAGAAAAACTCCAGATTAAGGACATGTCATCTCTAGTGCCTCCACAAAGGACCTACCTGCTTCTTAAACTGTCACAGCTGATAGAGTTGGTAGCAAAGGATTTGTACTCAGGAAGGGAGGCAGCTGAGGGCAAGGACAAAGAATTTATCTGAGTCCCTCAGAAAATCCCAAACCGTCCTGTGCCACACCCAAGTGTCCAGGTCCTTGAACAGGTTCGTTGGGTAAGAGACTGGTTGTGGAGTGAAAACGGTTCCCACCTGGGAAGTGTGGAGCACATGTGCAATGTGGTGGCACCTGGAGAGCTGGGATTTTCTGGTCCAAAGATACATTTTATTTAAGATGCATGGAAGTTTCAAAAATATTGAGACTTTGCATTGTAAATTTTGGATGGTTACATAATGATAGTGCATGCCTGTAATCCCAGCACTCGAGAGGCTGAGGCAGGAGGATCTCAAGTTTAAGGCCAGCCTGGGGTGACATGAGACCCTGTGTCAACAACAATAGCAGCAACAAAAGACTTGGGTTTCTGTTTTCTGAATAATAAGACGATCCCAGCAAAAGTTGACCTGTATTCTCACATGACAAGAATCAGCTGAGTTGTGTTTGTCTCTAAGTTCACCACACTGATTGGTGACTTGCTTTTCTCACCCACATTATCTATATGTATCCAGAAGACAGTGAGCACGTAGCCCTTAGTGTAGCTAAAAAATATTTACTGAATACCTTTTTATGTATAGAACTTGCAGATGGTACTAACAATGATGTTTACATACTGTGGCCAGGACACTTCTGGGTGAGAGAGGTGGCTTCCTTACACTAGACTTGGATTTCCATTGGGTTCTCATTGCTTGCTTACCCTCCCTTTCTTTCACCAATTTTACATAGGATGCCATTACCATTATGAGTGGGACACCCGTGAAGTGACCAAAGGCTTCGGAGTAACTGACACAGAGTTTGCACTTAGAATAAAGTCAACAGAGAACATAAGAGACTGCCGTTTCATATACTGGTGTTCATCTATTTTATTATGTATTTAAAAAAATAAGGCCCTCCAACAAGCTCAGTTTGCAAATACAAAGAGAAGGTCCACATTGAAAAAATAATTATCTCTAGATCTTTTCACTTGCAAAGGTTCAGGTCTAATTAAAAACAAAACAAAACAACTCTCCACCTTTTAATGTGTAATTTCCTAAAAAAGAAAATTGTACCTCCTAATCGTTGATCAAATTACATCAAGTGACTGTACTAGGCCCATTCAGTGTCTTTCTGGGAATGCTTATGAGTATTCCTCCTGGGAGTAGTCAAAGTTTCAGAGACTTAGCACTTATGGCGTCATAAATGTCCTCAGTCATAGGAACATACGTATTGGTTTTGTCATCCAAGAAATACAAGGGATCCTTGACGACCTCAGGGTTAAAGCCCTCCTCCATGAGTGTCACTTTCCGGTGTTTAAAAGTCCCAGTGGTCTCGATGGCATCCTGAAAAAGATTCGACAATCCATACTGCGGTTGTATTTCACAGTAGATCAGGGTGTGTGGTGATGGTGGGGATTTGGCCACTCATTGGTAGCTCTGCCTCCCTTGAGTGCTGTGAAGTTGGTTTTTAAGACACCCACAGAGCCTGTTTTCAAAAACTCAAGGGGCGCCATGCAAAGGATTTGTTTTATTCCCTTAGAGGTTTAGGATCACCTGTGGGGAGCTAGGGCCTGCCAACACTGAGATGCCTGTGTGTAGATTCCTGAGCCAAGGGGTGGCACTAGGTGCTTGGTAAGGCTTTAGGTATCACGAGTAGCCTGGCTACTGGTTGGAGGGGGTAGACAATTGTTTCTCCAGTGAAGGCTTCCCTCATTGTTAATTGAGATACCTGAAGATATTTCACTTTCATGTCTCTTTACCATCTGGTCGAAAAGCAAATGTCAGTGTTTTACGCACATCAATAGAAATAACCCTACACTCAACAATATTGAGGATCTAAGATTTCTTTTCTCATGCCTTCAGTTATAACCACAGAGTTCACAGTCCAAACGTGAGAGCTTTAAACTAACAAAAAAAGGAATAAAGTTTGAGAAAGAAAAAAAAAAATCCCTCTAGCAGTGATAGTTATGTTTGATAGATCTAATTAGCTAATGATGCCCAATTAAATGTTATCTTACAGGGCTGGGCACAGTGGAGCAGTTCTTCATGCCTGTAATCCCAGTTACTAGGGAGGTGGAGATCCAGAGTATCTCAGATTTAAGAACAGCTCAAGCAAAAAGTTAGTGAGACTCCTATCTAAATAAATAAACCTGGTGTTGTACATGTCTGTAATCCCAACTACCTTACATGGGAGGCAGAGGTAGGAGGACTGTGGTCTGATGTTGGCCCAGGCAAAAACAACAACAACAACAAAAACAAACCCATAAGATCCTATCTGAAAAACAGCAAAACCAAAAAGGGCCTGGAGTATGGCTCAAGTGATAAAGTGCTTGCATAGCAAGTGCAAGGCCGATTTCAAACCCCAGCACTGCTCCCCCTCATTTATTTTTTTCACCTTAGAAAAAGGTGTAGGACTTCAATGAATCTTTGTGTTCTTTAAAATTAGAGCCAACAAATGGGAGGGTTAGCCTTCTATTTAAAGTACTTGTCACACCTCATGAGACAAAGTTTGTGAGGAATTTGCTAAGAGCATTGTTGAATATACTGGCTGGTCAGTTTACAGAGAAAGGGATTAGGATTGGATTTCTGCTTTCTTTAGTTTCTGATATTTTTGCTTCCTTATTGAAGCACATTTCTTTCTGAGCTTCCTTGAAAGGGTAGTGAAAAACTGGCAAATGTAGTCACCCTGGGAGAAGGGGAGCGGTTCCCTAAGAGACAGAGGCTTTGAAGAGAAGAAAACTGAACTTGGCCAGATGTCCTACCTGTATTCTCAGAAACCGAGGCCTTGCATAACTGGGCAGATAATCCACAATGTGCTGAAAGAGTTTCTTTCCATCAAATTCATGATTTTCTTTTAACTTGATGGAAGCCATGCCAATTCGACCCTCATGACCTAGAAGTGAGAAAACATTAGCTGGGTGGTCGCTGTTGATTTCATTCTGAGAGTTTGTTAGTTTACACAACTATGACTGAGACATTATGGCATAGGTTCCTTTTGGATAGTTGGAATTTTTACTTCAAATATATGTCCAGGTTATTCTAAGATGAATATACTGTCACCACTACTACTACTGGCTATACACTGAATCTTTCATAAACACCAGGCCCTATACTAAGTGTGTTTTATGGACTACCTCATTTAGCCCTCACTACAACCTTATGAGAGAGGTTCAAATGCTATCTCTATTTTACAGATGAAGAGACTGAGACTTAAAGACTTTAAGTGGCTTTCAAGGTCATGCAGAAAATACTAGGCAGGGTCAGAAATTGGATCCAGGCAGGCTGGCTCAAGATCTATGCTTGTAACGATCATTCTTCTTAGCAGGTGGTACAGAGATATCTGGGTAGGAACAGATTGTGTTGGTGGCTAAAGGAAGTGCTTTTTTGTTTGTTTGCTTTGGGCAGTACTGGGGTTTGAACCCAGGACCTCACGTTTAGCATGTTAGGTGCTCCACCAGGTTGAGCCGCTCCATCAGCTCTGTTTGGTTTTTGATCGCAGTGAAAAGTCCCTGCCCCACTGCCATAAATAACTGAGTTCAGTTTGTTCTTTAGAGTACAAAGTCAGGTCTGTTGTGCCTCCAGGCACAAACGCTACCTTTGAGATATACTTAGTTAATCAAAGTTCCTAATAGCTTTGCCTCTCTGCATTTCAGGAAGCTGCGGGACAGGAGGGTGAAGCCAGGGACAGGGGTGAGTTGCTTTGTATCCTCCCATTTGTGCCCACTAGTTTCAAGAGAAAGTAGACTCCATAGAGAAAACAGATGCCAATAGCAGGGCTGTTAGTGGGGAGGTGTTTAGAACAATTACTAGTGTTTTCTTACAAGGACAGTGGTAATTAGGTATTAATATATCTTCTACCTGATCCAGCAGACCCCTGGGAGTCCAGGTTCACTTCCCTGCACTACTCAGCTGTAACCAGAGAGGGGGAAGGAGCTGTCCTTGATCACCTGGGCCCCAGCTTTTGAAATCTTTCCCATGGTGATTGTGTGTTTACCTATGGCTCTAAAGAAGGCAAAAAACAAGATGGAAAAAATATATATATATGGTAAAGAAATGTCCCCTCATTTGGTTTCCCTCTTATCTGAACACGGGAGGCGAGGTACTAGACTCTCTTTCTTTAGGGGTTCTTGATACCTGTCTCAGGAGCCTCAAATGTCTCCAGTAAGCTCCTTTTATAATTGAGGCAAGGCTGACACAACAGAAACCTTTTGCATTGACTGGCTCTTTGTTTGTTGCTCTGGCAGTAGCAATGGTGACCCAACAGACAAATGGGCCTGTTATGTCTCAGGCCTCTGCACTGACTCTCAAATATTGAATTGGGATTAGTTCTTTCCCAGGAGGAAGCTTCCAGTCTACAGCAGTTGTGGGCTAGGCCTAAAGATCAGTTCTGGCCAGGGGTTCTCTAGAGCTGTGCTGCCCAATACAGTGGCACAAATCGGTCCCATGAGGACACCAAAACTAAAATTATAGTTAAGTAAAATGAAAAATTCGATTCCTCAGTTACATTAGTCATATTTCAAGTGCTCAGTAGCTACCTGGACAGTGAAGACAGAGAACATTTTCATCAGTGCAGAAAGTTCTACTGAGAATTGGAAGTTCTAGAGAGTATCTGGACAGTTCTGGTGGGACACCTAGAAAAGTGAACTCCATTCTAGGTCCCAATCTAGAAGTGAGGCAAACCTGAGATGTGGGAGGGCCTGGCTTAGAATCACCCATGGAGGACTGATAGTGTACTTTAGATGGGCCTGCTGCATTTTCAGGCTAGAATGGGGCTCTCCTTTGTAGATGGGAGACCAGGTGGCAAGTGGCATTGAGACTCATGGAATCTGAAAGTTGGGAGGTTAGAGTTCAGCTAGCTAGTCTTCTGCAAGAATTCTCCCAGGATCCTAGGTGGACACCAGAATCTCAGTCTTAATATCCCTTCCTTCTCCTTCTCCCTCTCCCTCCCCACCTCTTCTTTTCTCTCTCTCATCTTACTGTGTAGCCAAGCTGGCCTCAAATTCACAATCCTCCTGCCTCAGCCTCCTCCTGAGTGCTGGGATTATAGCAATATACCACCATTCCTGGCTCTAGTCTTTCTATATGCCCTTGCTGGTGGTATATTTCCTATCCCAGGAGATGAGCCCATTCATTTGCTAGTGCCTCTCATTACAGGAGAGTTCTCAGGCTAAAATTTTCTCATAATCATTTCAGTCAGTTTTAGCTTTGCTCACTGGAGCAACATGGAACGGAAGCTCCTTGTTCTACCTGTCTTCCAATCACTTGAAGATTGTTGGCCTCCTCTTCTTTGCTTTATGTCAATGGTTCCCAAACCTAACCAGTTGTTAGACTCACTTGGGTTTAAAAAAAGACGTGAAGATTTAAGTCTTAAACCGCCACCATTCTGTTCCATTGGGTCCCAGCCTATTCTGATGATTGGTTAAATTTTGAAAACCACTGGGATTCAGTGCTTCTTAGACTTTAATATTTTTAAATTGTGGCAAAACACATGAAGTAAAATTCATAATTTTAACCATCTCAAGGTGTTTGATTCAGAGGCATTTAATATACTCACAGTGTTATGCCATTACCACCAGTGTCTAGTTCCAGAACATTCTTATTGCCCCCAAATCAGACTGGTTGTGTGTGTGTATGGTGCTGGGGATTGAACCCAGGGCCTTTTGCATGCTAGGCAAGTGCTCTACCACTGACCTACATCCCCAGCCCTTGGTTTTTTGTGGCAGGGTCTTGCTATGTAGGCCAGGATGGCCTTGAGCTTGTGATTCTCCTGCGTCTACCTTACTAACACTGGAATTACAGACATGTACCACTACACCCAGTGCCAACTTTAGTGATTTTAAGACTCACTAGAGAGCTTGTGAAAATACAGCTTCTGGGCTCTACCCCAGAGATTCTGACTCAGCAGGTCCGGATAGGCCTGAGAAATTGCATTTTTAACAAGTTTCCCAGTAACACTGACATTGCTGGTCTGGGGATGAGCCTTTGAGGAACACTGGGCCAGTTTTATTTTCTAGACTCTCTCAGCTTTTTTTGTGTTATTTATTTATTTTTTAAAACTCAGCATTTAGAAGCACACACAGCATTTTAAGAGGTGTTTGTAAGAGCCACGTGTGGTACTACGGCTGACAACCATGACTTGGATCTTGTGTTAATTCAGCCTCAGGTCTGGCACATTATCCTTGTGATCAACTCGAGGAGCATTGCGTATCCTGCCATACTTGGTGACCTACTTCCCATTGTGTCACAGGATCATAGAGAAACAGGCAACAGAAAATCTCAAATATTCTTTAAAAAATGAAAGAACAGCACAAGGTCATGCTAAACGGTCAAAGCTCAGGAAAAAAGAAATTTTGGATTTCTATTTTGAATATTTTTCTTTTGAATTCCAAATACTGAATTCTGGGGGGAAGGAATAATAATAACACCTTATATTTAGACAATGATGTGGAAGTTTTAATTTTGTCTCTGACATCTATAATTTAAATGATTTATTCTCATAACCCTCATGTATATAGTTGATAAATACATGTTTAGTACTTACGAAATAAAAATCAATCAGCTCTCCTGACAATTTAAACTGGAGGGGCAGTGCGATCCCTAACTTTAGTGACTTGGCTGAGGCCAAATAACCCACAGGTATTGGAGCCTCCAGGTCAGACTTTGACCTTCCCCACTCTGGCAGCAGAATCATCAAGTGATGATTCTGAAGCTGAGGTGGCTGGACTGGGTGGGGTCAGACACCTGCTTTCATAGAAGATGCTGGAAAAAAAATCAGCCTCTTTCCTATTTTTCCCCTAGCAACTGCACTTGCTCTTATTCATTTTGCCTCATTCAGACGCCAAGACACCACTTCCCTGTTTTCAGGCTCCTAACTTTTCTCAGTTACAGCATGGGACCCTGGATCTGAGAGACTTAGCTTGCTGGAGAACCTGAGAGCAGAGAGGGGCTGAACTACAGAGGAAGCGCAGCTTCAGATGTGCTCCCGTTATCCTGGTACACAAAGCAGACATAAGGTCCTTACTCCCTCATGGCTGAAAGAGTTGTTTCATTCTCCAGTTGGCAGGAGAAAGTAATGACAAAGTTTTCCCTGGTCAAAGTCATGTTCAGTAAGTGTATGGGTTCAGGCACAGATGTATATTATCTTGTACGTACCTGGCACAGGCACTCCGTAAACATTCACTTCCTGGACAAAACTGACCAGTCCTACTATGTCAGCGACTTCAGTGGTGGCCACATTTTCCCCTTTCCACCTGGGAGGAAAGGCAAGGTTAGCTGAGGTCACTGGTACTTTCTGGCCCAGGAAGCAATGACAGAGAGCAGGGGTTTCTTTCAGATCTCTTTGGGGTGACTGGTCTTCCCATCTTGGTCCCCTAAACCTCCCAACTTAGTAACTGACATTCTACCAGATGCTCAAAGTAAAGGTATAGACTTAGGTAATGAAATGTGGAACTTCAGTCTTACCACATGAAACACTTTAGATAGCATTGTAAGGGGAGCAATGAGAGAGGTGACTCCATTTTGGGTGAGGGAGGCACTTTAAAAGCAGACATCTAAAGAGGCATGGGAAACAACCGGTTTCTTAGAGAAATAACAAGCCTCTCACCACAGTAACAAGATGCAGCTGCACAATGTGGGGAGTGGGCCCCATGGCTAGGATGAGTTGGGCAAACTTCCAAGGCCAGGACAAGCCAACCAGACACTCCTGGAACATCCAGTTCCATAAGGAGAGGGATGAACAGGTGGTCAGATTTAATGAGAAGTTGACTAGGTGCCAACCAATCACTAATACAGTTTCAATGTAGAATAGTTGGACCTAAGCCAGTTAGTGCCCTATGTCATCTCCTAGACTATAGCCATTGTTTGGCTAAGGTCTTTCATAAGTCCTAACCATTAGGGTGCTTTGCTAGCCTTTAAATAAACTTTGTGCTTGCTTTGTAACTCTTAACTCCTGGTCCAGAGTCTTCAGTCATCATCTATGCCAGGACACGAACTCGGGAACAACACTCCAGTATCAGAATGATGTTCTTATTAAAATGGAGCTGTGGCTAAGAAAGGCACTGGAAATCAGATCAACTCCACATAAGTTTGCATTTGATTTTATCCAAAGAGAAGCTCCATGATTAGAAAAAGTATGAAAGTCCCCAGCTGTCCTAAGAGTGACCAATAATAATGCAGGACAAATGAAAGTAGCTGGAGGAGCTGGACACTGGTGGCTCATGCTTGTAATCCTAGCTACTCAGGAGGCAGAGATCAGGAGGATTGTGGTTCAAAGCCAGCCTGGGCAAACAGTTTGAGAGACGTTATCTTGAAAAACCCCATCTGGTTGAGAGGCTCAAGGTGTAGGCCCTGAGTTCAGACCCCAGTACTGCAAAAAAAAAAAAAAAAAAAGAAAGCAAGTAAAGAAAATAGCTGAAGTAGCTGGATGGACTGTAGGCTCCAAAACCCAGACACAGGCTTCCTGCCTCATTCTCATCTGGTGTTGCTCAGCAAGTTAAGTGTGTGCTGCAGAGTGACACTCATGCATTGCCCCTTATTCTTTGGGAATACAAGAGGTTGAGTTGACACTCCAAGGAGACAGGCGGTTATGAAGCACCATAACCGAACTGTGCCTGTATTTGTTTTGGGCTCAATAATTCAGAAAAACCAACCGGAAGGTATCTCCAACTCTGTCGTGGAAATGGATGAAATTATCATGGTCAATCATTAAGAGATCTCCACTGTTGAAATACAGGTCTCCTTTCTTAAAGACATCCCTCAGCTTTTTCTTCTCTGTCTGAGTCTTTCCTCCAGCATAGCCATTAAATGGTGTTAATTGTGTGATTTTGCAAATCAAAAGGCCAGCTTCACCTAAGACAGAAGAAAGTAACTTGCCATTTTTTTGTGCCAGAGCTAAGCAAATTTTATTATCGACTTGTTCTTAAAACCGATGACATACAGCTCAATGGCTGCAGACAGCATCATTTTTCATGCACATATTCATATATATCACATACATGCATATAATTCCACACCACTTCGTATACACTTACCTTAAACATTATTCTATATGGCTACACATTTGTAATTATTTTAATGCTAATCTTTTACTGGATAATGATCTATACACAGAACTAGACAGATGAAGCTAACTGTAGTTTTGCAACCATAATTACATGTCCCTTCAAACAATATTATTTTTTTCTTTGTTCCCCCCCCTACAAAACTCTTACCTTATAAAAGCAAGATGCTGTTAAGATAACTTTAAGGCTAGCTATAATTGTGCTATTTGTAGTAGTAAATTAGCACTTGTTTGGAATTTTTGTAACTATTTCTGAGGGTACTTAAATAAACCTCTTCCCCCACTCCACTCTGATAAAATTTATCATGTGGTATGATGGTAGTCATTAAAGTCACTTGGTCAAGATAAGAAAAGGCACAGTTAACTAGACAAAAAGCGCACTGTACCTTTTGGAACTTTGATGCAATATCCATTTCCATCACGGACAGGTTCATCTTTCTCCACATCGTATTTAATCAGCTCATAAGTTATGACTTTCTAGGAAAATTAAAATGTATCATTTTGAGTACAAATTATTTTGTAATTTTATATGCTTTGATATAAAATACATAAAGTACAAATATCTTAAGTGTGGGGCTTGGTTGAAATTTCACATTTTTTTATATACTCATGTAATTACTACCTAGATCAAGGTATAAAACACTTCTCACTTTACCTAAAAGTTTCCTCCTGCTCCTTTTTGTGAAGTTAAAGTGGCTGTAATTGTGAGCAAAGGCTGAATTTAAGGTTTTATTTGCTTAATTTAAATTGAAATAGCCACACATAGCTAGTGGCTACTGTACTGGACGGTGCAGATCTGAAGGACATGTGAAGGGTGTGTTTGGCTGCCCATTGTCAGAGAGGCTTCTTGGACTGGAGCTCAGGTCAGAGTATCAAGAATGGAATGGTAATAATAATTATAGCTAACAATTATCTGAGGCTATTATTTGACAGGCATTGGGCCTCTAAGGGCTTTTTCATAAATTACTTAACTTCATCTTTTCAACAATCCTTTTTCCTTATTGACATTGAGTATGGGCTAGACATTCAGATCAATTTTTTCTCTTTTTGTACCTGTTTTAAGATAATGAAATTGAGGCTTAAGGAACATAAGTGAGTTACCCGAGGTCACCCAGCTAGTGTATGTGGTGATTTGCTCTTTAGAGCCAGACCTCTTATGTCAATGGACCATTGTTTGCCCTCTGTCCTCTGCTGGCCAGTCCCTGGGGACAAAGTCTGCCAGAGAGCATGGATGTGACTATTTCATGGTCAAGCATGAAGGGTTGCCCACAGCATGATGACAACAATGACTGTACCAGCCAGTGAAGGCCCAGCCTCCACAGGATATTCCCAGAATTTTGTAGCATTGCTGGACATTTAGAAGACCAACTGACTATAAGAGAGACACACAGATTGTCCAGATACCCAAGGCAATAAAACGATCAGGAGGGAAAAGAGAAAAATAAGAAATACCCTTCTGGTGAACACAAATGTTTACCAGATGATCACAATTGTCTTGAAGGTGTACATAGTCGATCCTAACCCTACATATCTTTAAAAAACACCTGGGCAACATCTTGGAAGAAGGGAATCCAAAGCCAAGAGGGTGGGACCCCGCACTTGTGTACATAAAGTGCTGTTCATGTGATTGAAATACACAGCACAGTCAAAGGCAAATGCTGCATGGCACAGCAGCCTTCAAGTGTTTAACCATGTACAAGTATAAATGAAGGAAGGAAGACTTCCTGTAAGTTGCACATGGCAAAGGTTGTTATTAATAGAAGTTGGATATTTTTAATTGAGATGACCTTCTTGAGGTCATCATAACAGAGACTAGGCAAAACTTCTCTTGGTGACACAGATGGGACATGGATCTGATGCTGCATGAAATTGGGATTATAGCAGTATCATGACACAAATTTTAAGAAATCTATACATTCTGGAAACCAGTTACATGCACAGCCATTTTTCAATGTACTTAACTCTTTGTAGGTAGTTCACTCTTCCAACAGCACCGATTTTTCTTGGATAATTTATAAATCCGACATTGCCTTCAGTGGCAGCATAGAACTCATAAATATGAATGTCCCCAAATCTCTTGACAAACTCTTTCCACACATCTCCTCGTAAGCCATTTCCCAGTGCCACTCTCACTTTGTGATCACGATCATTTGGTTTCTGTGGTGGGGCAGAAAAAGAAGACCTAATTGAAACATCTCTGGAACATGAACTTACATATTAAAATTACCTTTATTTTATGACCTATTTATGTTGGTTACAAATTCACCTTTCTATATACCTTTTTGCCACCCACAAAAGATATTATCCACCCCCCCAATCTATGCATTATATTCTGACAGATCTCTGATTTAATAATGAAAAGACTTGAATTTTCCCATTTTTAAGGGACATGATGAGACATTTGAACAGAACCAGGTGAATGCCAACATTTAATTCACATACAATGCAAAGTTAGAATAATGTGTTAATACTAATATTTTTGGGGATGGTGAACATCAGAGAATTTCCAAAATGGAGGAGTCTTCATGGGAATATCTGTCAGACATGGACACATTTTGCAACTAGTAGGATCCTGGGTAGAGTTTCTACTGCTGAAGCAATGATTTTCATTTGGCAGTGGAGAAAACAACATAGACCAATAAGAGAGAGAAGAGAAGAGAAAGAGAGGAAATAGAAGGAGAGAGAGAGAGAGTTATTTTCCACAAAGGCATTAAAGAGCACTAATGTTGTGTCTGGAGGGACTGGAGAGAAAAGTCTACAACACGCCCTCATTTAACAGTACATCTAGAGGTCACAAGACCGTTTAGAGCTGAACAAAGACAATGAAACTGTCCCAATGGGATGGGAAGGGAAAGAGAAGGAGGAAGCTGGCTCCCAGTTGCTCAGGTGGCCTGGGAGGAAGATGCTTTGCTATAAATAAAAATCACAAAGGAAAAGCTGTTTTGAGGGTGAAGACCAAAAGGAGAGCTTGTAAGCAGTGAGAAGTGGCGTGAGGATCAGGTTGCCTTCCATTCAACCATATTCATTTGTGAGGTTCCTACAATAAGTCCAAACCAAGGTAGTTTTTTTATTTTCTATTTTTTATTGTTTTATTATTCATATGTGCATACAAGGCTTGGGTCATTTCTCCCCCCTGCCCCCACCCCCTCCCTTACCACCCACTTCACCCCCTCCCTCTCCCCCCAACCCCCTCAATACCCAGCAGAAACTATTTTGCCCTTGTCTCTAATTTTGTTGAAGAGAGAGTATAAGCAATACAAACCAAGGTAGTTTTAATGTAATGTATAAGGCAATTTATAGTTTCCAGGAGATCACAGAATGGTGGAAAAGACAGGTAAATAAGAAAAATTTTAGCTTACAAATTCTGTTACTCTTTGACCTTTATTCAAACAGAAACCAGGGTAAAGGTGCTAAGGAACTAGGGTCTCCTCTCATACCAAATGTTAATTTATTGACCAAAACAGTAATTGCTTAAATCAGAGAATTTTCTGTATTCTTTCCTATCCTGTGAAAGAAATCTGGAATAAATCTCTTCTTTACTTTGTAAAGAACTATTCTAAGAGACAAACTGAAGGTTCTAGGGGGAAAAGACTTTGGCAGGTAAAAACCGAACCAAAACTAACTTTGAATTGGTTCCATGGAGAAGGAGTTAAGGGGCCAGGAAAACAGCAAACATGCATTTGATTTTTAAGTAGCTGGTTGATCAAAACTTGGATGGGGAAGCTCTGAGCCAGAGAGATGGACAGATAGCCATCACTGATGAAAATGGGACTGTGAGTGGTCTTTCTGAGAAGGACACGTATAAAGACAGGCTAGGGTGCTCATGCCTGTGGCTTTTAATGATGGAGCTCAGGAGAGTGGCCTTGATGCATTTTGAACTTGCATGTGTCCTAGACGTTTTGACTGATAGGAATCCAATCTCTTCGATCTGTTCCATAGGTCCACAGGTCAGTGAATCTGTTCCCTTTTAAAACTGCCAAGTACCTGTCAGGAAGGTGATCAGATGTCTGATTGCTAGGGCCAGTTCTGGCTGTGCCGTTGTCTTGGTGTGTTCATTCTCCTGTGTTCCCATTCGGATAAAGAACTGTAGGGTTACCCTGACCATAAGGGGCTATTCCCCTCAGTAAGGACTATCAGATTTTCAGAGACTGCTCCCTACTTTATCTCCTCCTGCCACTCTGAGGATAAAATTTCTTGAATATTTGAAAAATGCTTACGTTTACTTAACAATAACCACCTGACCTGGTTGCTTACCTGTTCCCAGGCCTGTGTGAGATGCTCTGAAATAAAATTCCCATGAGTAAACCCAAGACTACTTATTTCCAACATAGCTCATGATTGGTTCTCCCGAACGCTTAGTTCACTGGATGGTGATCACCTATCTCCCCATTAGATGGTGCCAAATATATCTCCAAATCCTTCACAGGGCCTGGACCTGTGCTCTGCTATAGCATAACACCTGCAGCAAAACAGCCTGCAGCAGGAAGCCCTCAACTTCCCTGTTGAAGCTAGCCGCTGGGACATCAGTATAAGGGCAGGCCCAGGGTGCAGGGTGCAGGTGCCCTGGGTATGTGGGCAGCTGGCCAGCCACACAGGTGCAGCTGACACCTGGGGGTGGCAGGTAGCTAGGTTTATAATCATAGCACCAAGGACTCAGTTTTCACCATACAGCTGAGGGATCTAATTACACTAGTGGAAGGATTAAAGCTCCAAGCTACAATTGTTTGTGGACACAAATGGAAGATCTTGGAACCTTCTAATCTGCCTGCTTCTCAACTACTGCTTTTGCTTACCAGTGGCCTGGACTGACTTCAGCTATTCCCATGGGGAAAAAGTGCTTCTCTAAGGGGCTGACTTTTAGGTCAAGGGTCATCTGCTCATTTTCTTTAATCAGGATCAAACCTATTTCACATTAGAGCTGAGATGTAGCAAGCTAACACACCCAGGGACCTTTAGTTCACACTGGGATTTAATGACTGATGAAGGGAGTCCAGGGTGTCCAAAAAAGGAATGTGAAGTGCCAGGAAATTAAGGTAAGCAGAAAACTTTTATTGAGGGTTTGTCTACTGATCATAGTATCATACTTAAGTTTCTGAAAGAACTTTTCTGGAATGTACTGGATCATAAAATATTTTCCCTGTATTACACTTGAAGAAACAGAGCCTTGGGAAGCTTACAGTAAAGACAGCAAAACAGTTGCTCTGGCATTCAAATCCAAATCTTGGGACTTCTGAAAGCACTCTTTCCTTTAATTAAAAAAGAAAAAGAAGCTGTGTGCCAGTGGCTCATGACTGTAATCCTAGCTACTTTTGCAGGTTGAGATCAGGAGGATTGTGGTTTGAGGCCAGCCTGGGCAAAAAGTTTGCAGGACCCCGTCTCAACCAATAGCTGAATATAGTGTGGCATGTGTATGCCGTCTCAGCTATGGCAGGAAGTATCAAATAGCAGGATCACAGTCCAGGCTGGCCTGGGCAAAAAAGTGAGACCCTATCTCCAAAATAATCAGAGCAAAAAGGGATGGAGGCATGGCTCAAGTAGTGGAGTACCTGCCTACCAAGTACGAAGTTCTGAGTGTACCACCAAAAACAGAGAGAGAGAGAGAGAGAGAGAGAGAGAACATGCACAGTTGAAGAATCAGACATTACCTAAAGGCTACTGGATTCTGTGTTCTACCCACCCTTATTACCCTGAGGGGGACACTTTTAACTCTTGTAGCTTTTCTTATTACCTCCATATCTCTAAATTAAATGCTTATGTTGCTATCTCTGGATTCATCAACTTTAGATTTCCTGTTGTGCTGGATGAGAACCAAGCTCTCTCCCATTTTCCTCTTTTCCCAGCATCATAAATTTTGATTAAAGTTATATTCAGCACATGCATATTTTGCCCATAACACACCACCGATGAGCCAGGTAATATACTATGAGTAAATTCTTGAACATTTTTTTTTTGTTTTCCCTGGAATTAATTGCCTCCTTGCCCATTTACATCATTTTCTTAGTTTTGTCTTTCTTCACTCTCCAGTACCCTCTGAGTACAAAGTTCCTCATAAGAAAATCTGCTGTATAACATGAGTTCATTTTTTTCTACTATGCTTCCTTTTATCTTCTGGCTCCAGTCTGGATGAGTTGCTCTTTAAGCCTGGGGGTCACTTTTTTCTGTCTTGTCTGGGTCCTGTGTTTCTCTCTCTCTCTTTTCATTGTTATTTTTCAGATAGGGTCTCACACTTTTTTGCTTGGGTTGTTCTTGGACCGCAGTCCTCCTACCTATGGCTCTCAGGTAGCTAGAATTACAAATATCCAGCTTGTTTGTGGCTAATTTTTTTTTTTAATCTGGGCTGGCCTTGAACGGCAATCCTCCCAATCCCCACCTCCTGCATAACTGTGATTACAGGTGTGAACAACCATCAGTCCCCACCCTGTTTTCTACCAGAACGTAGGTGATTCAGAGATAGGAATCTCAGGCTGAAGGGACCACAGAGGCTATTTCATTTTGGAGGGAAGGCAGGCAACACTACAGAAATAAGTAAGTCTATTCAGCTCTCTCAGTCTTCTGGTTTATCTTATTTCCCCTTTCAAATATGACTTTTACTTGTGTCCCCTGGAACTCTTTTCTGGATCCCTTTGCCTCCTCCTTCTCTTCCTCCTGGTCACACTCCCAGCAGATGGCACAAATACTCATTTAGATCCTTGCTATAGCTCAGTTCCTAATTGGAGAATCAAAACACTCAGATTTATCAATATCTTGTTCCAATAAATGGTTTTTTTCCTAAAGGGCATTTTTATGCAACTACACAAACAAAATGGGAGCAGGCAACTGAACACTGCAAGAAACAAATCACAATTTTTTTTTTGTTACAAACCAGTGCTCTGCAAGAGAAGGCCCACATGTAACAGGGAAGACAGGTAAAATGGATAAAGAGTGGTCAACCATAGCACTGTAAGAATCACTTAAGCCAATAGCTCTGCAGTTCCGCCCTTCATCAACCTCAGAGATTAGCTGATTAATTTGAATGTCTTCTCTTATGCATGTGTATGTGGGACAGAGTTTTCATTGATTCACCCAGTGAATGTGTAGCACAGTAACTATGATCTACATATTATTAGGAACAGAAAATAATGCTAACAGTAGTAATGGCTACCATGTGTTGAACATTTCTTAAGTGTCAGGTGCTGTGCAATGTGCTTTATGCACACCATCCTGTTCTGTCTCCATAGACCCCCCCAGCCCAATGAGGAAAAAAAGTACTATTTCCTCAGTTGGCTGATGGGAAGCTGGTATTTAGGGAGGTTGATTATCCTGCTCAATGGCAGAGGCAGGGCATAGGCCTACTGACTCTAGAGTTATTGTTCTTATGCACTACTTTAAGTACCTGGAGCCATGTGTAAGCCACTGATCTGAGGGACCAACCCTGTTCTATGATCCTCTGCTTTACCAGAGGAGCTGCTGAGTACAGTTAAGAAGAAGAGGACAGGCATAGAGGCCTCCACCTCCCAGCACTGGCCCCACGTTCTCCTGATCAACTGTGCCATGTTTGTGGGTGGAGTCATTTTTGTTTGGCAACTCTGTTAAGGCAGGAGTTGCCCCCCTTCCCGCCCCCGTAGTTAATACTTTGTTTGTTGGGGTGTGAGCCCCTCCAGACCTATCCTGAGTGACTCTGAGGATGAGACAGTTCTGATTACATTGCTCCAGAGCTCTCAGCTATTAGTTTGAGTTTTTATCCATTTCTGTTTGAGAAGTCTGTTCTATACAATCTTTCTTTTCTTTGTGTACTGGGGCTTCATACTTGCTAGGTGCTCTACCACTTGAGCCATGACTCCAGCCCTTTTTGCTCTGGTTATTTTGCAGATAGGGTCTCATTTTTTGCCCAGGCTGGCCTGGACCGTGACCCTCCTACTTTAGGCTACCCACTGTCACTGGGATGACAGTGCATGCCACTACACCCAGCTTTTTTCTGTTGAGATGGAGTCTTGAAACTTTTTTACCTAGGCTGGCCTGGAACCTTGATCCTCCTGATTTCGGTCTTCCAAGAAGTTAGGATTACAGGTGTGAGCCACTAGTGTCCAACTTAATATAATTTTTCTTTAAGCTCCACTTAAATCCATAGGATCTGGGCTTTCTATTATCACTCATGATTAAAAAAGTCTTTAACTGAAGGCTTTTTTTTCAGATATAACTTGGGTCATTTCTTATTTTTCTTTTGTGATGCTTGGGATCAAACCCTTGTGTATGCAAGGCAAGTATTTTACCAATGAGCTAAATTCACAGCCCTCATTTCTTACAATTCTTACAAGTATTTTACAGACAAGCAGCAAGCAGGGGTAGGGAAGTAATAGCCAACGGGAACTCCAGACCCAGTTTTAGGTTTCAGATCACCCACAGATTACACCCTAAAGCATACGATATTCTGAAGGTATAAAATCCTGATCAGATTGTCACTATTTTCCTGCATTTGAAACAGGAAAAAGAGAAAGATGGAAGTGTTTGTGTGAGCGTGTGCAATGTGTGCATGCACAACCTAAGGCAGCTACACACAAACATGTTTATTTTCCTCCATTCAAAGGAAGCTCCCGTTAAAAACCGGTAGAGACAAATGCCCCTTTCCCCATCTCAGGAGACTTCTGATCGACAAAGGTGGCTTGATGGTAGAGAAGAAGGGCTAAACAGAAGGGTCCCATATGGATTTCTGGATTTTAATAGGCTGGTACGCAATCTTGAGGAGCAGGTGGAATACTAATGTGAAAAACCCAGTAATGACATTAACTGCTATGGAAAAGGCCCTATCCTGGCTTACAGCTAATTATTACTTTCATGAATCTGCCAAAAAATCAAAAGAAAATATACTCAGCCTGAATGCTTTTGGGGAAACATACTAGTTCCCTCAACTTGATTACACATTTTTATGCATTATTTTTATTATTGTTGTACTGGGGCTACATTATAACATTTACAGAATTTCTTACAGTATATCATGGTTGAATTCTCCTCCATCATTCTGGATTATACATTTTTCTGGGGCAAGAATTTAGAGGTTCATTCAGCAAAATTTGTTTATGCCTGTGATATGAGAGTTATAGATCTCAGTGTTGGGGATCTGGCAGTGGATGAAGCCCCGGCTTGTGGGGAGCTTTCATTAATGGGGGAGACAGAGAAGAATCATTGTCAGAAGCAATAAATAAATCATGCAAAGTAGTAACGAGATGGAGAGTCAGGGCTAGGTAATATGTTTGATTATTAGTAGGAGGGGTCTCCCCTCCTACTCAGAGATGTACCCCTCATCTGAGCAGAGACTGAATGAACTGAGAGGAGAGAGAATTTGGTGAAAAAAAACCTCTTCTCTCTCGGTCACTTAGCAGCTGAAACATAAATTGAACATAATGGGTGCTTACCAAGTGATCCTTTGAGTTTGTTTTATGTTGACTGAATATCTTAAAGGAATTAGAGTCTGATGGATTTCCTATCCATCTAACAAATCAACTAGGGTGAAATTTGTTTGCCTGAGAACATTTGCCAATGTCTGCAGACATTTTGATTTTCATGACTTCACAGAGGGAGAGGTTATTACTAGCATCTGGTCAGTGAAAGCCAAAGAACATACTACAGTACATGGATTAAGTCCACACAGCAAAAAATTAACAAATCCAGCCCTCAGATATGTCACTGTTGAGAGACCCTGATCCTGATATCAGATGTCTAATGAAAGCCAATGGACTGGGCAGAAGGAACTCTTGTCAACAGTCCCATCAAGATAGCTGGGTATCTGCAAATAGGGTAGATGGAAGGCCTTTGGAGTTATTTTGAGGCATGTGTTCCAAGCTTGGTGATAGACTTAGTTGGTTTGTTTCATGGGAGTGTATTCCTTAAACAGGATTGAGTAAAAGTTTCCTTCATGCCTTTGGTATAAGGGAGGACAAGGAAATACAATGTGACCCCTGTGATCACAAAGTTACAGCCTAAGCAGCGGGACAGCCGGCATGGTGACAGACACTTGCTATGTGCAGCCACAAGAAGTAGGAATAAAATGATACAGGTGAGAGAGCAATGACTGCTGTTGGAATGACTCAAATAGGGTTATGACCTATCATTTGAGGAGAGTTTTTAAAAATATTTTTATTCTCATTTATTAGTTCTATGGGGGGGGAGCGGATTTCATTGTGGTATTTCCATATATGCACACAATGTACCTTGGTTAGGTTTGCCCCCACCATCACTTTTCCTTATCCCCCTCCCCCTACTTAAAATAATTTTAACAGGCATCATTGTTCTATTTTCATACAAGTATATAAAGCACATCGACCATATTCACTCTCCTTTACCTCCTCCACTCACCTGCCCCTCTCCCACTAGCTAGATTCATTCTCTAACAGGACTTGTTTTATAATCCTGTCCATTTTTTTAAGTGAATAGTCATTGTTCAAAGGGGTTTACCATGGTGTTTCACCTGTGAATATACTGTATTTTAATTGGATTAATCTCTTTGTTATTCTCCCTTATTAGGTGAGTTTTGACAGTGGATTTTCATGAGCAGAAAGGGAAGAGAAGATTAGCTAAGTAGAGGGTCAGATGTGAAAACAGGTAACAAGGCAGGGGATACTAGCCATAATAAAATTAAAAGTAACTGCCATCTAATATGGCCCCTTAATATGGCAGGTGTGCTATCACGCTCTTTATCATAAACAAACAACTATAATTGAAACAAAACTGATATATATGACTCAGCTGAACCTAGCATGACCCAAAATGACCTACACTTCTATCTTATCTACTTCAAAAAGATATTAAAACATGGGCAGTGTTACCTGGGGTGAGTTGCATAAATACCGAAGCAGTTCACCGATATACTGAATGACAGTGACATTGTACTTTCTACAGTCGTCCCAAAACTGACTGGCTGAAAATTTGCTCCGCAAAGCAATAGTAGCACCTACAGAAAAGGTATGGAAATTGTCAATAAAGGGATGCTGCAGAAGATCTTCCCAATTATGTTTGTCATTTCTAAAAGATAGAAACTTTATAATGAGTTGTATTCACAAATAACTGCTGAGTACCTATTATATTCAATGCAAAAAACATGGTTTTGTCCTGTTAGCTTCCAATCTATGGGGGAGAAGACACACAAAAGTCATTCCAATAGAGGTTAGAATGCAGGATGCAGAGGGTCAAATGAGGCCCTATGGGATGGACGAAGGAGGGGAGGGAGAAATGGAGGGAGAGAGAGAGAGGGAGAAGGGGAATGAGAGAGAGAGGGAGAGAGAGAGAGAGAGAGAGAGAGAGAGAGAGAGAGAGAGAGAGAGAGAGAGAGAGAGAGAGAGAAATTCTTCTTGGAAAAGGGAGGATTTGAGTTCTAGGCAGAAGAAAAAGCTTGAATCTAAAGACAGGATGGTCCAGAAGGTGTCGGGGGATGACCAACACCTGTGACTGGGGGTGTGTAGGGCTGGTGGGTTACAGCAGGTGTATCTGGAGAAGCATTTAGGGATGCAGTTATGGGTCATGGGGACCATGGAAGGACCAGGTGGAGGAGCCAGGATTAATTTTGGAGGTAGTAGAGAGCCAAGGTTTTGAACAAGTGGGAGAGAGTGTTCCTTTATGGGTGAGATAGATAGAACAATGGTCCCCATCCTAATCCTCAGAACCTGTGAATATTTATCTTGTGTGGCAAAAGAGAGTTTGTAGATGTGATTAAGTTAAGGATCTTGAGATGGGAAAATTATCCTGGACTATCTGGGTGTGCCTACTGTAATCACAAGGGTCTTTAAAGAGGGAGGTACAATAAAGGTGGAAGGAGGAGATAGTCTGATGGGAATAAAAGGTTAGAGTGGTGTGCTTTGAATATGGGAGAAAGGGCTTCCAGAAGGAATCTAGCCCTGCAGAGAACACCTTAATTTTAGGACTTCTGATCTCCAGAACAGTAAGAGAATAAATCTGTGATGCTGCAGCCATAAGTTTGTGGTAATTTGTCAGAGCGGCAATAGAAAACCAGGAAAATCAGGAACTCATAAATATTTTTTCATGTTACTGGCTTATTTTTACTTAAATATACCAAGGACCAATGTTTTAGAAGAAAAGTTTTTTTTAATATTATCTTTTCTTCTGTAGTATGTATTTCTGGCACTGAAATGGTCAGCTTTCTGTTTGAGAGCCTCATGGTCACTCTGTTCTTGAAGGTCCAGCAGTATACCCTGACCCAGTTGTTCTTTGCTATTGAAGGCTGCTCCTGAGGCCAGGCTAAGTATTTCATAGCTGATCCATCACTGGATGGAGGAGAGAAGCCCAGGCTTGGACCTTCTAGGCTGCTATAACAAATTACCATAGATGGGGTGGCTTAAACAAACTTGCTTTTTGCAGTTCTAGAGATTGGCTAGTTCAAGATCAAGGTGCCAAAAAATTCAATGTCTGTAAAGGGCATTCCTTTTCATCTGTGCATGGCTATCATCATCCTATGGGGAATAGCAGGGACAGGAAGGAAGCTCTTTCCTCTGTCTTCTTCTAGATCACTAATCCCACGCGCACAGAAGCCCCTATTCATGGCCCAATCACCGCCCAAGACCTCGCCTCCTGACACTATTACACTGAGGTTTCAGATTGCAGCATAAGAATTTTTGTTTTGGGCGGGAGTGGACACAAATATTCAGTCTATAACATACATATATGTGTGTACATACATGTATATGTGTATTTACTATATACTATACATTTTACTTTAAATAAATGTGTGTATATTTTAAATGTTTATTTAAAATGAAATGGCCCATAGGAGAAAAAGTTTTCAAGTTTTTCACTTAGAGAGTTTGAGTTGGTTTCCTGGAAGAGATGATATAAACCTCAGCATTCATGTATAAAAGTGGCATGACTCCTGAAGTCAGAGCAGATGGCAATTCCTGTTCCAACAGTAAAGATTGAGAAAGAAAGAAAAGAGATGGCAAGGCAGGTTTTTTTTTGCACTACTGGGATTCAAACTCAGGGCCTCACACTTGCTACGCAGATGCTCTTACCACCTGAGCCACTCCACCAGCCCCAGAGGCAGAAGAGCTGAAGAGCTCTGGGAAGAGAGAGGAATAAAGAAGAATGAGGACAGAGGGTATAGATATTGCTAGAGCAACATGCACACGTCTGATGTTGGAAATGACACGGGACACTTATTTATGGAGTCTAAGAATCAAGCGTCTCAATTTGGATAAAGGCATAAAATGTTTTACAGGAATTTCTTCCTTGATACACTGAGCAGTAACAGTATTATATTTTACACAAGCAAGCATGAGAAAATGTAAATTATTTTAGATACATGCTTGTGATGTATGAGCCAAACAGGCTTTTATCAATGCAGAAATAAATACCACCTCTAGCAGACAGGAGAGTAACCAAATTTTGTACTACTTTTCCTTATGAGCAGATGAGAATGTGGACCAGCCTCTGATCCTTGGTGGGAGAAACAGCTTACCAGTCATGATACATCCGTGCAAGCCAATCATAAGTGCAGCACTGTGGTACAAGGGAAGCGTGGTATAGATGACATCCTCTGCCTTAACCCCACTTGCATTAATGAGGCCAGTTGCAAGCCACAGGCGATGATGATTGATCATTGCGGCCTTTGGGAGACCTTTGCAAAGATACAAGAGAAGGCATGAGTAAGCCAAGATTGGCAATTCACAGCCTGGGAGAGAGATCTGGCCTAGGAAGCTTCATCATCCTGTGCTTACAGAATTGCACAGGGGTGGGCCAGGAGCAGTTAGACCAGGAGGTAGCAGATTTTCCTGTAAAGAACTAGAGAGTAAATGTTTTAGGTTTTGTTGGGCAATGCCTCAACTTTGCTATTAGAGTCCCAAACAGCCATACATGCATAAAGGAATTAGGGTGGTTGTGTTCCAATAAAACTTTATTTACACAAACATATAGGGGCTGTATTTGGCCCTTAGGCCATAGTTTGCTGACTCCTGAACTAGGAAGTTATCACAGTCATAATCTGAAGAGACTGAATTTTTATGCTCATCACTTTGCAAGACATTCAAAATTTTATGTCACTTTCATCAGAAATTTAAGAAACAGTCATCCCACAGATGAGCAGACTAAGAGTCTGAGAGATTAAGTATTTTAGAGAATAAATAGCCCACCCATCCAATCATAACTTCTTTATTAATTTCTTAGGTACTATCCTAGAATTTCTTTATACAAATACAAGCAAATATAAACATTTGCTATAGGTGCTTGCCTGTTCCATTGTAAAATATGAACATTCTTTCACACTTTTTTCTCTGTCACTTAAGAACATTTCTTGGAGATCAGTCCATGTTTGTACAGATTTCCTTCATTTATTCATCCATTTCCTCTCTCAGCTGCTTTACATCCTTTATATGAGAACATTATAATTTTTTTGAGGGAGCAGTAATGGGGTTCAGGTTCTCACACTTGCTAGCCAGCCACTCTGAGAACATTATAATTTATTTACACTATTTTGCTATTTCAAGTGGTGCTGACTAGAATAACGTTGTTTATTTGGCAGGTCACACTATGAACGACATTACATCTGTAGGATATAATTACTGAAGTGAAGTTGCTGGGGCAAAAGATAGGTCTTTGTAGTTTGGATAGATAACTGCCACATTGCCAGGTGTAAGGGTGGTCCCCATCCACTCTCCCTCAGCCAACATATGCTCCTAGATGCTGGAATTTTTATCTATCTGAAAAGTGAAAAAACTGTTTCTCAGTGTAGTTTTAGTACTCTAGACTAAATGCATTTGCATGTTCTTAACCATAATTTACATACGTTTTTGTTTTTCGGTAAGACTTTCTACTGAAAGCGTATGCTTATATTGTTCCTCACAGAGGATCAGTGTAGTTGGGTAGGGCACGAAGGCACTATGAAGGGGATGAGTAGTTTAAGTGGCCAAGTAGGCCTTGCAAAGAGGAAGGCAGGTCTCAGAAGATTCAGACCTTCTGACACGTGACAGTACCTTAGCTAGGTGTTTCCCAAAACAGCGATTTGTTACAAGGCAAAGCAGGACTGCCAATAACTACCATAGTAGTAGTTGTATGGTTTGACCTTAAAAATGAATTCAAAGTTAATTTCTGGGCTGACAGACTGGCTCAAGTGGTAGAGTGCCTGCCTAGCAAGCATGAAGCCTTGAGTTCAAACCACTGTACCACCAAATAAATAAATAAATAAAAATAAAAATTCATTTATTTTCATAGTGGTCTAGTGGCATTGTAGTAATATTAATGCCCCATTCTACATTAACATTAAGAAATAGAAGAGCCAGGAGCCAGTGGCTCACATCTATAATCCCAGCTACTCAGGAGGCAGACATCAAGAGGATCATGGTTTGAAGCCAGCCCAGGCAAATAGTTCATGAGACCTTATATTGAAAAAACCCATCACAAAAAAGCGCTCGTGGAATGGTTCAAGGTGTAGGCCTTGAGTTCAAACCCCAGTACCACAAAAAAAAGCATCACAAAATCAATTGTGTTCACCATGGAAAAGAATCATTCAAATAGTAAAAGCTCTGAATTACATTTTTTAATGAAGCAATATTCATCTTTGTGGCTTTGAAGTACTTTTAGAACTTTCCTAATTTAAAATTTTATATTAATGAATAAATAAGAGTATTTGGTAACTATTATATTATCATTTTGTGCTAATGATTTCTTTTGATGAACTGGGAAAAGATTTTTTTCTCCAATTGCTTGTTTTATTTGAATATTTTATTCACTGATAAAGAAAAAGTAAAATAAACATCAATCCTGTTGTCTTCCAATTAACTGTAAATGCCAAATTATGGGATCCAGTCAGGGAGTGTTCTTTATTTTCTCTGTAAAAGGGGCTTTCTATTTCTTTCAAAGCACGCATTATGAAGACGCTCCATGCTTTCTGTTCAGGACTAAGGCTGGAACTCCCCATCACTAACCAAAAACTCTATTTAGCTCAATTACAATTAAAGTTTACAATTTAATTTTGCTATCCTATTAAGAAATGAAGATAAATATCCCAGATATGAAGGTAGTATCTGTATGCAGTGGAAACAGAGGGTTACTTATATCATCCAACTTTTAACAAATAAAAGAATTATAGACATTATGAGTTAGGTACTGGCTTTACGATGTCGTTCCCAGCTTCTTTGCCTCATTTATTTATTTATGAACTTATTTATTTTTATTGGCATATGTTGAATTATTCATAGTGAGGAGTTTCATGGCTACCAGTCCATAATGTTCTGCACTTATTTAAAGGAAATATTCAGCAAAAGTGACAGTATGAAGGGATGATGACATTCAGGTTGAACTGAGGACCAAAGAACTGTAACACCAGATGTGTGGTGATAAAAGGCTCAAAAGAACCTTTAGCCTCATCTACAATGTTTGCTTATTTAACATGCAGAATGCATCATTCTGCTTAAATTAAAGTTTCAACCACAAGAAAGACTAATATTTAAGTTCCCAATATCAACAATAATAACCAACATGCTAGGGCTGGCTTCCTGCCCTTCTTTTGAGTAAGTATATCCCTCAGGCTTCTTATTATTATATTTTGGTACTATTTTCCCTGGCCTAGAATAGGCAGACACTGAATATCTGTTACTTCAATGAAGCAGGTGGTTTTGCCACCAGAGCGGTCAGTTTTATGATTCACGAGGTGAATACTAAAACTTCTACTTCTTAACATGGGAAGTTCTGAATCTCTTTAATAGTTTCAGAATTTTTAAAATGGGAATAAGAATTGTAACCATCTCAAAGGTGGTGGAAGAATTGTATGGACAAATGTTTTAACACTTCTAGAAGAATACCTACTTCAAACTACCCTTGACATCGCTTGTCATACAGCAATGCTTTACTACCTCTGTTAGTTGGCAGTGTTTTTCTTACTGGCCCATAAAATAATGGCACACAGTTGAAGAAATCCTAGACTTGATGAAATACACTATTTTAAATCCTGCACTAGACTCCTCCTGCATCCACAGCATCAAGCACTCCCAAATCAATGTTGCATGGCAAAATAGTGGCTAAAACATTTATATAAATATCACTCCATAATTGTCCATTGGTGTTCTATTTATAATTGATTACATATTATAATATGCCCTGGTTATAATATAATAAAAATATAACAAGCATTAAAATTTAAAAAAAATTTTTCATTCAGAGCCAAATCTCATCCATTATTCTATTTTTTAAAATGGTACTGGGGCTTAAACTCCAGGCCTCATGCTTGCTAGGCAGGTACTCTACCACTTGAGCCATTCCACCAGCCCTGCTTATGTTGGGCATTTTCAAGATAGGGTCTTGAGAACTAATTGGCCAGGCTGGCTTTGAACCACAATCCTCATGATCTCTGCCTTCTCAGTAGCTAGGATTACAGGTATGAGCCACAGGTACCTGGCCCTATTTTTCTAGTCCTCGTTTAACTTCTTTATCTGTTCTATACCAAGTTGGGAGAGACACAAATTGGATCATACCCAGTGAAATAAGATCAGTTCCCACACACAAAGAGCTAAATCCCCTGAAGTATTAGTTATCTGATAAGTTTTGCTAAATAAGGAGCATGTTTAAAAACCTAAGCCATCATTTAACCCCTTTGGGATAGGTCCATTTCTCTAAGCATTTTTTTACCTGTGGTTCCAGAAGTATAAATGTACATGGCAGGAGTAGAAAAAGTGACTTCAGACCTCCATGACTCTGGGATAGGTTCAGTTGACACTTCATCTATTTTGTCCAGGAAAGATTCAACCCCATCTGTGGCAGAAGTTCTGCTTACATAGTAGACGGACACGCCATCTTTTTTCAGGCTTGGCAGCACCTCTTCAACAGCATCTTGTAGAGCTTAATTTAATAAAAAAATCCAAACAAATTAAATTAGTCTGTTAAGTTTCTGTTGAGTGCAATAAGCTTCATGATCATTTTGTGTTTATTATAACTTTTGCTAAAATGTGTGGACATAATGAGTGATGCTTACAGTTATGTGCTTTTAAACATTTGAAAATCACAAGGTTTCAGCATTTGAATGAAGGCTGAGCTTTGATGGTTTCATAAGCACAGTAGATGGGTGGTTAAAATTTATACTTTTCATTGTAAGTGAACACAAAGGGTCATATGGGTAAAAACCAAGAAATGTAAGTACATAACTTACATGCATAACTAGTATATATCTAAAAATAAACCAGAAATGAATTTAGCTGTTCCTAAATGTGCCCACAAAGACCACAAACGAAAAAAAAAAAGAAAAGAAAAATATTAAGGAGAAGAGAAATGGAAAGAAAAGAGGCATGACAAGTAGCAAAGGTGGTAGAAGCTAATTTTATGTAACAATTTTTTGACACATTGGCAACAGGTAGTTCCAGTAGGAGGGCTTCGCCGACCTGAGAAATAAGCTCTAAATTTCATAAATGCATTCTGAGTGAAAAAAAGGACTGATTAGCCGGGCACTGATGGCTCATGCTTCTAATCCTAGCTACTTGGGAGGCAGAGATTGTGGTTTGAGGCCAGCACGGGGAAATAGTTACTGAGAACCTATCTTGAAAATAACCAACACAAAAAAATCAGGGCTGACAGTCTGGCTTAGGTAGTAGAGTGCCTACCTAGCAATTGTGAGGTCCCAAGTTCAAAATCCTAGTACCACAAAAAAAAAGGACTGGTTAATTTAGAGCAAGAGTTTTTCCAAACTGTAGGTCATAAGACAGTAATGCAATAAGATCACCAGTGACCAGTATTATTAAAAATTTCAACATAGTGAAGTAGACATTTTTAGAATAAATATGTCGTAGACAGTAAGAGGTAAGTATTGTTTTTATAGTAGATTTTTTTTATGTGGGTGTGTAAGTACTGAGTCTTGAACAAATCTATTTCTTACTGGGTCAGGTAAGAAAATTAAAGGTTATGATTTGATACGTGTTCCTAATTTCATATTTCCAGCTTGAATTTTTGAGCTTTTAACCCATAAGGTGAATCTGCTTTTAGGCTACTTGTCATGACCTATAAGAGCTGAAGTGAACACACTTATTTTTCATAGGAAGGTGACTCAATATCCCAGGGAATTACCTTGGGGAGGCCATGCCTGGTTCACCTCCTTTGCTTTGTTTTTCAGCTGCTTATGAAGGATGTCTCCATCAACACAAGAAATGTCACTGGGATAGGTGCATTTGAGTTTTTAAAAACTATTTTAAGCAAAGGACTCATGCACTTGGTAAAAATAAACCGTACAAAAGGGTTTATATCAACCGGTTCTATCTCAGTCCTCTTCACAACTAGATGTACTGATGAGGGACAACCCCTTTCAATTCCTTTAGCTCTTTCTTTGGCAATCTCTCCATCACAAGATGGACCTTTTGGCCTGTCAGTTTTGATCCCCGCTCCCCTTTTACCCATGTCCACTCCCATTTTTCAACTTTCACTTGATGTCGTCTAGATTAATAGCATTTATGTCCAATCCAAGACCATAATTCTGACTTCCAGCATTGTCAATGGGTTGCCTCTAGAAACTGAAAACCAATAAGCAAGCAAACATGATTATGCTATACTTGATCATAGTCCAAAGGCCGAGAAGCGATCAACGCGATTATGACCATGTAAACATTCAGTGCAGTGCCAAGGAGAACAGTATGATTGAATTTTCTTCTTGGACCAGTTTTCTCAGACACTTTCTAGTTGGTTATCATTTTTTTTTTTTTGTGGGACTGGGATTTGAATCTTAGAGCTTCATGCTTACAAAGTAGGCACCCTACCATTTGAGCCATACCTCCAGTTCATTTTGCTCTGGTTATTTGGGAGATGTCCAGGCTGGCCTCAATCCATGATCCTCTCTATCTCAGCCTCCCAAGTAACTAGGGTTACTGGAGTGAGCCACTGGTACTCCACCGCCTATCATTCTTTAATGCACTATTTGCCTCTTCTTTCAACCACTCCTTCAGATTACTTTCCCTTTTTTTCTGCCTCAGGAACCTTTATTCTCTTTCTGTACTATTTCATTTTTGACTGGTTGCTCTTTAGTCTGTCTGCACTTTGGAAAGGTTAACAAAAATATTACTGATACAGACACTGGAGTGGTAGCCTTCAGTCCCTTGCCAGTGCCTTAGCTCAGGTCCTCCTTAGATTATTGCAACAGCCTTAGATCAGTCTCCTTGCTGCTAATTGCTCCCCATTTCAATGTATTAGCTTCACCTCTGCCCAACCTCTCAGTGACACCCTGTTCATAGTCTTTCAAAGGCTGCTCCTCCCCTGTGACAGAATTCTGTTCTCCTATTCCGGAGGTTCTGAGGCCCTTTATAGCCTCACCCTATCTCCTACCTCCTTCCCACTAGCCACGAGGATCCATGTGCGCCTAGAAGGTCCACATATGCTCATATCTCATTACCTTTGTTCAGGCTATTTCTTCTGCTTGCCATGCCATCGCCCTCAATCACTGGAAAACTGCTCATCCTCCAAGATAGCCTAGTGACAATTCTCTTATTCACTTGCACTGCCCCTGCAAAGCTCTGTGGCTTCCACAGGGATCTGCACAGACTTGTGTCACACAGTGAGGTATAGTTTAGTTCTTCTCCTCTATTAGGCACTGAAATCTTAACTTAGTCAGTGTTGTACTCCCAGTACTAGAGAAGTGACCAATAAAATGCTTATAATTGAAAGAGTTTGCACAAAGTATTGCATTAGTGTGGAAAAAGAAGTAATGAGTTAAAGCTGCTTATTTAAAGGATTCAGAACTCACAATACTGTGAGTTAATAAACCTTTTTTTTTTTTTTTTTTTTTTTGAGATAGGGTCTTGCTATCTGGCTTGGACTGGCCTCAAACTCATGATTCTCCTGCCTCCTGATTGGTGGGATTATAGAAGTTTGCCACCATGGCCGGCCAGATAAACCTTTAATGGAAATTTTAATGTAAAATGAAGGGATTTTTGTGATATAGGTCTGCCTTGTATAAAAGTAAGGGTCCTATATGGGAGTTTGGTTTATGATTAAACCCTGCTGACAGAAGGGAAAGTCAATGCACAATACAATTTCCCTCCATCTTCTCTAGGCTGTTCGTGTAGAATTTGTTATTTCAGCAACAACTGCCTAGCTTGACTGCCTAATTACAGCACACTGGAGTAGCCTTTCCTCAATTAAGTTAAAGATATCAATATAAAAACTGAAATTAGAAAGGAATTCTGGATATGAATACTACCTGCCAATTATCTAGTTGATAGTTAGTGTAGCAATATTTAGCCTGCCTTCCTTCTTCCCTTCCCCCACCCTTTCTCTCTCTTCCTTCTTTCTTTTCTTCCTTCCTTCCCCTACCTTTTATCTCTCTTCTCTTTTCTTTCCTTCCTTCCTTCTTTCCTCTCCCTCTCTCTCTTCCTTCCTTTCTTTCATAGATATAGTTGGGTCTACATGTTTTCTGTTTCACACATTATTTTTTTTTAGTAATCTTATTGCAAAGACAACTCACCTAAGAATGGCAGTCGACTTTGCCTTGTGGAAGAGGTATCTACTTGACCTGCTCTGTTCTTGTTAAGACATTTCCATTAAACAGCAACATAGATGATCTTTTGTTAATCTTCCTAATGGACAGCTTAATCCTAAACTTTTGCAGAAGCTTGGGCATGATAAGTAAAGTTCACAGAAAGTTGGCTGAAGGGTGTTTGGTGGATTAATTGGCTCCTCATTAGCAGAACCTCAGAAAAAGCAGTACATACTTGGGTGATGGAAAATCAGGCGATTACAACCTCTCCACACAAGTCTGTCCTGTCCAAAATAAAATTAAAAAAAAAAATCAAGGTAAGATACTAGTTCCTGCCACCTTTTTTCTTTAAGAAGGAAAGAAGAGAAAATCTAAATAAATAGGCTCATTTCTGGAGAGAGGGTGGGTGGGGAGTTGAAGCAATCTTTGTCACCAAGGAATAGTCACTCTAGATTCTTGTTCTGCCTCTGTAAGCTTGCCTCATTAAATGGGTAACTCAGTTAGTTAAAACACCCTGGAAATGGTTGCCAATAACATAGGACATGAAAAAGTTGCAGGGAAAAGAAATGTGTTCTGATCAAAATTTTAGGATCAATGTAAAATGGTGTAGATAAGTAAAAATCAGGAATGCAGTTTATTTTTTTATTTCATTCAGAAAAATAACTGAAACACAAAGTAGTGCTAATACAGTCCCTGGTGACAATGTGAAATAGTTACTAAACTGCCATTTATAACTGGGATTTTGCATCTGTCACTGGTAGTTTGGAGTCACAGTATTTAATAACCTATTATCTACTATGTATAGGAACATAATGTGTTTTAGAACTCACATGTGTTAGAGACATACATATACTCTTCTTTCCTCCCCATACAAAAAAATACCTGAGGGTAAAAAAAATGCTTAATTAAGGTTAAATTCTAACAAGAGTAAGTGAAAATTTAACACTTACCAAACATTTATATAATTAAATAATTTACTGGATATTATCTTTCATTTCACTCAAAGTTTTTTTTTTTTTCCCCTATGGTTCTGGGGTTTGAACTCAAGGCCTACACCTTGAGCCACTCCACCAGCCATTTTTGTGATGGTTTTTTTTTGATATAGGGTCTCACACACTATTTGCCCAGGCTGGCTTCAAACTGCAATCCTCCTGCTCTCTGCCTCCTGAGTAGCTAAGATTACAGGTTTGAGCCATCTGTGCCTGGTTTTGCTTATGTTAACTCTTGTTTTCTAAATAGAAGGACAACTCCTTATCATGGGATTATCAGATCATACCAGGCCTTACAGAATTGTTAGCACTGATATCCATAAGCAACCATGTCTACCAAGTATCTCCTTCTCTCTCAGAGGCTGTGGGAGAGATTCTTTTTTCAATTAATGGTCACTTAT